AAGCATTTTTCTAGTTTCATGACAATAACTTGTGTGTAAGTGTATGGATCTTTATGAAATTGTACTAAAAGGTTCCATATCACAAAGGGTAAGCTGGAATTGATTTTGGGGGTAATTGCCCACAACGTTTAGGAATAAGGGGCCAAAAAGGGGGAAAAAAATGCATTTTTCTAGTTTCCAGACAATAACTTGTGTTCAAGTGTATGGATCTCTCTGAAATTGTACTGCAATGTACCAAACCACAAAGGGAAGGCTGGGATTGATTTTGGGGGTAATTCCCTAGAAATTTGAGGAATTAGGGGCCATAAAGGGGCAGAAAAACAAGCATTTTTCTAGTTTCAGGACAATAACTTGTGTGTAAGTGTATGGATCTTTATGAAATCGTACTGCAAGATTCCATATTTCAAAGGGAAAGCTGGGTTTGAGTTTGGGGGTAATTGCCCTAAATGTTTATGAATTTGGGGCCAAAAAACAAGCATTTTTCTTGTTTCCAGACAATAACTTGTGTTCAAGTGTATGGATCTCTCTGAAATTGTACAGTTCATACATGTGAACCTCCCGGCGGGAGTACAATAATCCCGTTTTCAGGGGTCTCCTCCCGACCTCCCGTTGAAGACAAAAAAATCCCGTGTATGAAATATTTCATGAATGAAAAATTTCAGCCCAACATATCTGGTGTAACTGACATTACTGAAGTTATATTTTACCTGTAAATCAATTAACATGCATAATTATATGGCCTCACTTAACACCTTGGGTGTCAAATATACTGGTAATAAACGATTTTTACCTCAGGCTAACTGCCGTTGTGTAATAAAACTTTGTTTATTTAAAATGAATGTTGGGTTACTTCCCCTGATTTATCCTGTTTTAAGTTACTTTCCTTTAAATAATGTAAATTTTTAAAAGAATATAAATAAAATATAAATTGAACAAATAATCATAAAAGGATGGTAATTAAATGATTTTAAATGTTTTAGGACAAAGAAAAAAATAATAATTTGAAAATTATTTGAGGGTTTTATACTTCCTTTCAAGGCTTAAATTGAAATTTATATAATAACTATGACCCATGATTACAGTTTGAATGTGTTACTTATCATGCATTAGATATCTACCTGTATAAAGATAAAAATGAAAAATCTACTTGCAGATAGATAAGCAAATGCTCTGATTGCAATGAATAATGGTTAAAAAGATATGACCTAAAAAATGTAAAGAACATACTGAAAAAGAAGAATGTTAGATTGAACAAGTTGAAAGTTTAAAAAGATAGAGAAAATTTATAAGTACAAAGGTACTATAAACATAATACATTCGGATGGAAAGTTGAAGAAAACACACTTTAACAGACAATTTCTACAGCACACGGTTACATTTACGACAGAATTTATGTCGATTAAAAACATCCTGATCTGAGTCCTAATCTCCAAAACTCCTGATCTTAGTTTCACAGTCCATCACATGTATGTGTACTGCAAGGTACCATACCACAAAGGGAAGGCTGGGATTGAGTTTGGGGGTGATGAATCATAAGGGGGTTCAAAAATTTTTTTTTTGGGGGGGGGTTTCCTTTTTTTCTTTAAAATTTTCCATTTTAAATTGGTTATTTCTGATTTATATATAAAAGCAAATAATAATGATATGGTTTGAATAGATAAATTAAAATTTTTTAAGTTCTTAGACCACATTTATTCTGTGTCAGAAACCTATGCTGTGTCAAATATTTAATTACAATCCAAATTCAGTGCTGTATCAAGCTTGAATGTTGTGTCCATACTTGCCCCAACTGTTCAGGGTTCGACCTCTGCGGTCGTATCAAGCTGCGCCCCAGCGGAGCATTTTATTCACACTGTAATCAATTACATTACGATTACTTGCAATCAGAAATTGTATGATTACTGATTACATGGGATTACATTGCAAAATGTAATCGATTACAGCTGATTACGATTACCCCATACCTGATTTTGGTTTGTTTTTATACGACTGCAAAAAAATTTTGAGGTCGTATATTGGTATGACGTTGGCGACGTCGTCGTCGTCGTCGTCGTCGTCCGGCGTCGTCGTCCGAATACACAATGGTTTTCGCACTCTAACTTTAGTTTAAGTGAATGGATCTCTATGAAATTTTACCATAAGGTTCAATACCACAATAGGAAGGTGGGGATTGATTTTGGGGGTTATGGTACCAACAGTTAAGGAATTAGGGGCCGAAAATAAGCATTTTTGTAACTTCCAGACATAACTTGTGTGTTAGCATATGGATCTCTTTGACATTGTACCACAAGATTCCATATCACAAAGGGTCAATGCTGGGATTGATTTTGGGGTTAATTGCCTCAAAATTTTAGGAATAAGGGGCCAAAAGGGGGCAAAAAACAAGCATTTTTCTAGTTTCATGACAATAACTTGTGTGTAAGTGTATGGATCTTTCTGAAATTTTACTACAAGGTTCCATTTCACAAAGGGAAAGCTGGAATTGAGTGTTGTGGTAATTGCCCAAAACGTTTAGTAATAAGGGGCCTAAAAAGGGGTTTAAAATAAGCATTTTTTAGTTTCTAGACAATAACTTGTGTTCAAGTGTATGGATCTCTCTAAAATTGTATTACAAGGTACCATACCACAAAGGCAAGGCTGTTATTGAGCTTGGTTTGGGGGGAAAGGGGGTGGGGGGTGATGAATCATAAGGGGGGCGGGGGTCAAAAAAGGGGTAATTTTTTTTTTTCATTTTTTTTTTGTTTAAAATTTACATTTTAAGTTACTTATTTTTTATCACGAAGAGAAAGTAGGAATTGAGTTTTGGGGTTAATTGCTCAAACATTTATGAATAAGGGGGCCAAATATTGGTCAAAAATAAGGATTTTTTTAGTTTGCAACAAAAACTTGTGTTCAAGTGTATGGATCTCTGTGAAATTGTATTGCAATGTACCATACCACAAATTGAAGGTTGTGATTGAGGTGGGGGATGATGAATCAAAAGGGGGTTGAAAAAATGTGTGGGAGGTAGGATTTTTTTTTTTCCTTTTTTTTTCTTTAAAATTTTCCATTTAAAGATGGTTGTTTCAGATTTATATATAAAAGAAAATAATAATGATACGGTTATATATCATGAGGAATTGAAATTTAAAATTATGTATATTGGAAATTTAAGTTACATTAGAAAGTAATAATTGGCTTTGGGGGGGGGGGGGGGGGGGGGGGGGTTATGGCTCTAATGTTTAAGGAATAAGGGGAAAAAAGGTTAAAAAACAAGGGTTTCCATTTTAATAGACAAATAATTGAGTAAAGAACATTATTTAAAAGCAGTGTAAGGTTTGTAATTCAAACTCATTTAAATATCTCATCTACACTGCTTTTAAATTATGTAAATTGGAAATTTGCCAATAACTTTATTGTTAATAAATGCATTGGAAATTTGCCAACAATTTTAGTGTAATAAACTTCATTGGAAATTTGCCAATATAAAATTTTGCTGATGAAGGTTTTTTGTTTACCTTTAGCCTTGACTATGAAGTCATTTTCTATTTTTATAGCCTTATGATGTAGTTGAATTATTTAATACTTTTATGATGTGTTTTAAATGGGGTTTTATCATGTTTATGGTTGCAAATTTATTGTTTTAGTATAATAAACTCCATTTAAAATTTGCCAATAAAAAAAATTTTTGTTTATTTTTAGCTATGATTATGATGTCATTTTCTATTTTACTTTTATGGTTGCAAAGAAATTTTTATTTTTAGATATTACTGTTAAATGATGCTGATTAAGGTTTTTGCTATGTTTAGCCATGACTATGATGTCATTTTCTATTTTAATATCTGTTATGATGTATTTAAATGGGCTTTTATGGTTACAAAGGAATTTTATTTTTAGATATTACTATAAAATGTTGCTGATGCTGATTAAGGATTTTGTTTATTTTTAGCCATGACTATGATGTCATTTTCTATTTTAATACCTTTATGATGTAATTTCCATTTTTAGATATTACTGTTAAATGATGCTGATTAAGGGTTTTTTGCTATGTTTAGCCATGACTATGATGTCATTTTCTATTTTAATATCTTTATGATGTATTTAAATGGGCTTTTATGGTTACAAAGGAATTTTATTTTTAGATATTACTTTAAATGTTGCTGATTAAGGATTTTTGTTTATTTTTAGCCATGACTATGATGTCACTTTCTATTTTAATACCTTTATGATGTATTTTAAATGGGCTCCCATGTATTTAGATTTTTGATTATTTATACATGTTACCAAATTACATTGAACAAAAACGGTCCAAATTTCAACTTTATTACATTACATCAAACATTGAATTCTACATATTCTTTGATATATTGAAATTAACAAACAATTTAGTTTATGGATATTCCACCATAATAGGTAAATTAAATTTTTTCCAGTTCTTACACCACATTCATCCTGTGTCAGAAACCTATGCTGTGTCAAATATTTAATGACAATCCAAAGTCATAGCTGTATCAAGCTTGAATTTTGTGTCCATACTTGCCCCAACTGTTCAGGTTTCGACCTCTGCGGTCGTATCAAGCTGCGCCCCAGCGAAGCATTTTATTCAATTAGCATACGCAATAGGTCAACTATATTTGGTGTATAAAAAAATTGTAAGGTGTATATGTCTGTCTGACATGATTTATCTGACTTTGACCTCATTGTCATAGATCTTTAAAAATGTTAAGTTTCTGTAATGCTTTTAGTCAAACCTTTATCTTTAAGACATTCAATATAAAATCAATGGTCAGTATAGCAGGCGAGACATTTCAGCGTTTGCACTCTTGTCTATCAAAGGTTGGTGGTTCTGTGCACTCCGGCTTCTTCAACTAAAAAAAAATGGCTGCCGTGAAATAGCCAACAGTGCTGAAAGTGGCATTGAACAAAGATCAATCAATCAATCAATCAATTTATTGTCTTGCATGATATTCAGTTGATAGTTATTTGAATTGCAATCATACATGTATATATATTTATTGTAGGAGCATTTGATGAGGAAGAAATTGTTCATGTTGAAGGTGATGTTAATCCTACTAGAGATTTAGACATAATACATAGTGAGCTTAGGTTCAAAGATTTGGAGTATTTAAATAAACAGCTTGATCCATTAGAAAAATCTGTTGCCAGAGGTGGTGATAAGCAAAGGAAAGCTGAACATGTGAGTATTTTGTTGATGGACAATTTAAATTAAATTTATTTGAAAGTTATCCTTTTTATACGACCGCAAAAATTAAAAATATTTTGGTCGTATATTGGTATGACGTTGGCGTCGTCGTCGTTGTCGTCCGGCGTCGTCCGAAGACACATTGGTTTTTGCACTCTAACTTTAGTTTAAGTGAATGGGTCTCCATGAAATTTTACCATAAGGTTCAATACCACAAAAGGAAGGTTGGGATTGATTTTGGGGGTTATGGTACCAACAGTTAAGGAATTAGGGGCCAAAAAGGGGCCAAAAATAAGCATTTTTGTAACTTTCAGACAATAACTTGTGTGTAAGTGTATGGATCTCTCTGACATTGTACCACAAGGTTCCATATCACAAAGGGAAGGCTGTTATTGATTTTGGGGGTAATTGCCTCAAAATTTTAGGAATTAAGGGCCAAAAAAGGGGCAAAAAACAAGTATTTTTCTAGTTTCATGACAATAACTTGTGTGTAAGTGTTTGGATATTTCTGAAATTGTACTACAAGGTTTCATATCACAAAGGGAAAGCTGGAATTGAGTTCAGGGGTAATTGCCTGAAACGTTTAGGAATTGGGGGCCAAAAAGGGGCCAAAAATAAGCAATTTTTCTAGTATCCAGACAATAACTTGTGTTCAAGTGTATGGATCTCTCTGAAATTGTACTGCAAGGTACCATACCACAAAGGGAAGGCTGGGATTGAGTTTGGGGGTGATGAATCATAAGGGGGTTCAAAAAATTTGGGGGGGGGGGGGGGGGGTTCTTTTTTTTTCTATTTTTCCTTTTTTTTTCTTTTAAAATTTTCCATTGTAAGTTGGTTATTTCTGATTTATATTTAAAAGCAAATAATAATGATATGGTAGGATATACACACCAAACAGGATGTGTAAATTTTTATATAATAAGTATTGTGCAATAGCAAGTAATTTTCAATTGCACAGTATTGCACAATAGCAAGAAATCTTCAATTGCACAGTATTGCGCAATAGCAAGAAATCTTCAATTGCACAGTATTGCGCAATAGCAAGAAATATCCAATAGCACAGTATTGCGCAATAGCAAGAAATTGTCAATTGTACAGTATTGGGCAATAGCAAGAAATATTCAATTGCACAGTATTGTGCAAAAGAAGATACTTCTTATAAATTGCTTATTTCTTGATCAATTTCAATGGGGTTTTATTCTTGAATTCTTGGGGTTCTTTAATATGCTGAATATAACTGTGTATTAAGTTTTTGGATTTTGGGCCCCGTTTTTAAATTGGTCCACATTGAGGTCCAAAGGGTCCAAAATTTAACTTTGTTTGATTTCATCAAAAATTGAATTATTGGGGTTCTTTGATATGCCGAATCTAACCGTGTATTTAGATTCTTAATTTTTGGTACCGTTTTCAAATTGGTCTACATTAAGGTCCAAAGGGTCCAAAATTAAACTTAGTTTGATTTTAACAAAAATTTAATTTTTAGTGTTCTTTGATATGCTGAATCTAAACATGTATTTAGATTTTTGATTATGGGCCCAGTTTTCAAGTTGGTCCAAATCGGGGTCCAAAATTAAACTTTGTTTGATTTCAACAAAAATTGAATATATGGGGTTCTTTGATATGCTGAATCTAACCATGTATCTAGATTTTTGGGTCCCGTTATCAACTTTGTCCACATTGAGGTCAAAAGGGTCCAAAATTAAACTTTGTTTGATTTCATCAAAAATTGATTTCAATGGGTTCTTTGATATGCTGAATCTAACCATGTATTTAGATTTTGGATATTGGACCATAATAGGTGAATGTCCAATTTAAAATTTTAAGTTATTAGACCACATTCATTCTGTGTCAGAAACCTATGCTGTGTCAAATATTTAATCACAATCCAAATTCAGAGCTGTATCAAGCTTGAATGTTGTGTCCATACTTGCCCCAACTGTTCAGGGTTCGACCTCTGCGGTCGTATCAAGCTGCGCCCTGCGGAGCATTTTATTATTCATATAAATAAACAGGTATTCCCAGAAACATAACAAATTTCTGTCTAGAAAGACAATTTATCACCATCAAACTAAATAGTTGATCTAAAGTTCTCTTAACATTTAAGCTTGCATGATATAAAAAGCCACAATGAGCCATTCTCATAGCTTAGTGTTGGTCAACATTTATATGCCTTGAACTTCTTATTCTTATCCTTTATTTTCATATAAATAAACAGGAACTCCCAGAAAAACAATAAGTATCTGTCTAGAAAGACAAAAACAACAGTTTCTACCTAAAACCACAGTCAGAAACCACAGACACACAAAATTCTGTACTACCCCTCCTTTTACTTAGAGTCTCCCTGAGAATTCAATTTGTCCGCTATCCAGCAGGTAAAATCTCCAAGTTATGTCTCTTTGACTTGAAGTTAATTTCAATCATGTTTGACCTGAATCATCCTAAGTCAGTTTACCTCAATTATTATGCAGTCCTAACCAAGGAGTTATCCTTGCTGACCTTATGGTGTCAAGACTATTTTTAAGCCTGACAGAGTACTAGTGAGCTTGGGTTGACACATAGGGATCACTTGCGTCCTCTTTGTCCACATCACACTTTGTTTATTCACAATGCCAAGAAAACTGCTTTCCAGAATTGTACAGATATTAAGAAATGAGGTTCAACAACTTTTATTTAAATTTTTGATAAATGTGATTTTTGGGGTTTCAATCGTATTGACTAAATTTGACTTTGCCATTTCTCTACTTTTATTATTTGGAAATGACAGGTGAAACATGTTCCTTGGATGACTTAACTATATTAATAATAATTTATTTTGAACAATCAACTAACTGTTTAAAATCGAAAACAATGGTTAAAAGCAAGTAATTTTCAGAGGCAGGAACTAAATAGATGGTTAATGCATAGACTTTTTACATGTCCCACTCCTAGCATTGCCTAGTTTGGGCGCCCCTGGATTTTTTTCAAAATCCTGTATCTGAATCTGATTATCGAATTATTGAAAACAATCAATGCTCTTTTGCATTTTTATACGACCATTTTTTGCGGTCGTATATTGGTATGACGTTGGCGTCGTCGTGGTAGTCTGAAGACACATTGGTTTTCGCACAATTATTTTAGTTTAAGTGAATGGATCTCTATGAAATTTTACCATAAGGTACAATACCACAAAAGGAAGGTTGGGATTGATTTTGGGGGTTATGGTACCAACAGTTAAGGAATTAGGGGCCAAAAAGGGGAAACAAATAAGCATTTTTCTAGTTTCCAGACAATAACTTGTGGAACGGTGTATGGATCTCTCTGAAATTATACCACAAGTTTCCATACCACAAAGGGATGGTAAGGACTTGCTTTGGGGGTTGATGGCTCAAACTGTTTAGGAATTAGGGGCAAAAAAGGGGGAAAAACAAGGGTGTCCTGGTTAATGGACAAATACTTTAGTACAAAACATAATTTAAAGCAGTTTAAGGGAGGTAATTCAAATACATAACTTGAATTACCTCCCTTACACTGCTTTTAAATTATGTATAAAGTAATGGTTAATGAACAATTAAGACAATTTAAAAGCAGTGTAAGGGAGGTAATCCAAATACAACGTTTTGATTACCTCCCTTACACTGTTTTTATACGACTGCAAAAATTAAAAATTCTTTGGTCGTATATTGGTATGACGTTGGCGTCGTCGCTGTCGTCCGGCGTCGTCCAAAGACACATTGGTTTTCACACTCTTACTTTAGTTTAAGTGAATGGATCTCCATGAAATTTTACCATAAGGTTCAATACCACGAAAGGAAGGTTGGGATTGATTTTGGGGGTTATGGTACCAACAGTTAAGGAATTAGGGGCCAAAAAGGGGCCAAAAATAAACATTTTTGTAACTTTCAGACAATAACTTGTGTGTAAGTGTATGGATCTCTCTGACATTGTACCACAAGGTTCCATATCACAAAGGGAAGGCTGTAATTGATTTTGGGGGTAATTGCCTCAAAATTTTAGGAATTAGGGGCCAAAAAAGGGGCAAAAAACAAGCATTTTTCTAGTTTCATGACAATAACTTGTGTTCAAGTGTATGGATCTCTCTGAAATTGTACTGCAAGGTACCATACCACAAAGGGAAGGCTGGGATTGAGTTTGGGGGTGATGAATCATAAGGGGGTTCAAAAAATTTGGGGGGGGGGGTTCTTTTTTTTTCTATTTTTCCTTTTTTTTTTCTTTTAAAATTTTCCATTTTAAGTTGGTTATTTCTGATTTATATTTAAAAGCAAATAATAATGATATGGTAGGAGATACACACCAAACAGAATGTGTAAATTTTTATATAATAAGTATTGTGCAATAGCAAGAAATTTTCAATTGCACAGTATTGCACAATAGCAAGAAATCTTCAATTGCACAGTATTGCACAATAGCAAGAAATCTTCAATTGCACAGTATTGCGCAATAGCAAGAAATATCCAATAGCACAATATTGCGCAATAGCAAGAAATTGTCAATTGTACAGTATTGCGCAATAGCAAGAAATATGCAATTGCACAGTATTGTGCAAAAGAAGATACTTCTTATAAATTGCTTATTTCTTGATCAATTTCAATGGGGTTTTATTCTTGAATTCTTGGGGTTCTTTAATATGCTGAATATAACCGTGTATTAAGTTTTTGGATTTTGGGCCCTGTTTTTAAATTGGTCCACATTGAGGTCCAAAGGGTCCAAAATTTAACTTTGTTTGATTTCATCAAAAATTGAATTATTGGGGTTCTTTGATATGCCGAATCTAATCGTGTATTTAGACTCTTAATTTTTGGTACCGTTTTCAAATTGGTCTACATTAAGGTCCAAAGGGTCCAAAATTAAACTTAGTTTGATTTTAACAAAAATTGAATTTTTAGTGTTCTTTGATATGCTGAATCTAAACATGTATTTAGATTTTTGATTATGGGCCCAGTTTTCAAGTTGGTCCAAATCGGGGTCCAAAATTAAACTTTGTTTGATTTCAACAAAAATTGAATATATGGGGTTCTTTGATATGCTGAATCTAACCATGTATTTAGATTTTTGGGTCCCGTTATCAACTTTGTCCACATTGAGGTCAAAAGGGTCCAAAATTAAACTTTGTTTGATTTCATCAAAAATTGAATTCTTGGAGTTCTTTGATATGCTGAATCTAACCATGTATTTAGATTTTGGATATTGGACCATAATAGGTGAATGTCCAATTTAAAATTTTAAGTTCTTAGACCACATTCATTCTGTGTCAGAAACCTATGCTGTGTCAAATATTTAATCACAATCCAAATTCAGAGCTGTATCAAGCTTGAATGTTGTGTCCATACTTGCCCCAACTGTTCAGGGTTCGACCTCTGCGGTCGTATCAAGCTGCGCCCTGCGGAGCATTTTATTATTCATATAAATAAACAGGTATTCCCAGAAACATAACAAATTTCTGTCTAGAAAGACAATTTATCACCATCAAACTAAATAGTTGATCTAAAGTTCTCTTAACATTTAAGCTTGCATGATACAAAAAGCCACAATGAGCCATTCTCATAGCTTAGTGTTGGTCAACATTTATATGCCTTGAACTTCTTATTCTTATCCTTTATTTTCATATAAATAAACAGGAACTCCCAGAAAAACAATAAGTATCTGTCTAGAAAGACAAAAACAACAGTTTCTACCTAAAACCACAGTCAGAAACCACAGACACACAAAATTCTGTACTACCCCTCCTTTTACTTAGAGTCTCCCTGAGAATTCAATTTGTCCGCTATCCAGCAGGTAAAATCTCCAAGTTATGTCTCTTTGACTTGAAGTTAATTTCAATCATGTTTGACCTGAATCATCCTAAGTCAGTTTACCTCAATTATTATGCAGTCCTAACCAAGGAGTTATCCTTGCTGACCTTATGGTGTCAAGACTATTTTTAAGCCTGACAGAGTACTAGTGAGCTTGGGTTGACACATAGGGATCACTTGCGTCCTCTTTGTCCACATCACACTTTGTTTATTCACAATGCCAAGAAAACTGCTTTCCAGAATTGTACAGATATTAAGAAATGAGGTTCAGCAACTTTTATTTAAATTTTTGATAAATGTGATTTTTGGGGTTTCAATCGTATTGACTTAATTTGACTTTGCCATTTCTCTACTTTTATTATTTGGAAATGACAGGTGAAACATGTTCCTTGGATGACTTAACTATATTAATAATAATTTATTTTGAACAATCAACTAACTGTTTAAAATCGAAAACAATGGTTAAAAGCAAGTAATTTTCAGAGGCAGGAACTAAATAGATGGTTAATGCATAGACTTTTTACATGTCCCACTCCTAGCATTGCCTAGTTTGGGCGCCCCTGGATTTTTTTCAAAATCCTGTATCTGAATCTGATTATCCAATTATTGAAAACAATCAATGCTCTTTTGCATTTTTATGCGACCATTTTTTGCGGTCGTATATTGGTATGACGTTGGCGTCGTCGTGGTAGTCTGAAGACACATTGGTTTTCGCACAATTATTTTAGTTTAAGTGAATGGATCTCTATGAAATTTTACCATAAGGTACAATACCACAAAAGGAAGGTTGGGATTGATTTTGGGGGTTATGGTACCAACAGTTAAGGAATTAGGGGCCAAAAAGGGGCCAAAAATAAGCATTTTTGTAACTTTCAGACAATAACTTGTGTGTAAGTGTATGGATCTCTCTAACATTGTACCACAAGGTTCCATATCACAAAGGGAAGGCTGTAATTGATTTTGGGGGTAATTGCCTCAACATTTTAGGAATTAGGGGCCAAAAAAGGGGCAAAAAACAAGCATTTTTCTAGTTTCATGACAATAACTTGTGTGTAAGTGTTTGGATATTTCTGAAATTGTACTACAAGGTTCCATATCACAAAGGGAAAGCTGGAATTGAGTTTGGGGGTAATTGCCCGAAACGTTTAGGAATTGGGGGCCAAAAAGGGGCCAAAAATAAGCATTTTTCTAGTTTCCAGACAATAACTTGTGTTCAAGTGTATGGATCTCTCTGAAATTGTACTGCAAGGTACCATACCACAAAGGGAAGGCTGGGATTGAGTTTGGGGGTGATGAATCATAATGGGGTTGAAAAAATTTTGGGGGGGGGGGTTTCTTTTTTTCCTTTTTTTTTTTTCTTTTAAAATTTTCCATTTTAAGTTGGTTATTTCTGATTTATATTTAAAAGCAAATAATAATGATATGGTAGGAGATACACACCAAACAGGATGTGTAAATTATTATATAATAAGTATTGTGCAATAGCAAAATTTTTTTCAATTGCACAGTATTGCACAATAGCAAGAAATCTTCAATTGCACAGTATTGCGCAATAGCAAGTAATCTTCAATTGCACAGTATTGCGCAATAGCAAGAAATATCCAATAGCACAAAACTGAGCAATAGCAAGAAATTGTCAATTGTACAGTATTGCGCAATAGCAAGAAATATTCAATTGCACAGTATTGTGCAAAAGAAGATACTTCATATAAACTGCTTATTTCTTGATCAATTTCAATGGGGTTTTATTCTTGAATTCTTGGGGTTCTTTAATATGCTGAATCTAACCGTGTATTAAGTTTTTGGATTTTGGGCCCCGTTTTTAAATTGGTCCACATTGAGGTCCAAAGGGTCCAAAATTTAACTTTGTTTGATTTCATCAAAAATTGAATTATTGGGGTTCTTTGATATGCCGAATCTAACCATGTATTTAGATTCTTAATTTTTGGTTCCGTTTTCAAATTGGTCTACATTAAGGTCCAAAGGGTCCAAAATTAAACTTAGTTTGATTTTAACAAAAATTGAATTTTTAGGGTTCTTTGATATGCTGAATCTAAACATGTATTTAGATTTTTTATACGACCGCAAAAATTGAAAATTTTTTGGTCGTATATTGGTATGACGTTGGCGTCGTCGTCGTCGTCGTCGTCGTCGTCGTCGTCGTCGTCGTCGTCGTCGTCGTCGTCGTCTGGCGTCGTCCGGCGTCGTCCGAAGACACATTGGTTTTCGCACTCTAACTTTAGTTTAAGTGAATGGATCTCCATGAAATTTTACCATAAGGTTCAATACCACAAAAGGAAGGTTGGGATTGATTTTGGGGGTTATGGTACCAACAGTTAAGGAATTAGGGGCCAAAAAGGGGCCAAAAATAAGCATTTTGTAACTTCCAGACAAAAACTTGTGTGTAAGTGTATGGATCTCTCTGACATTGTACCACAAGGTTCCATATCACAAAGGGAAGGCTGTAATTGATTTTGGGGGTAATTGCCTCAAAATTTTAGGAATTAGGGGCCAAAAAAGGGGCAAAAAACAAGCATTTTTCTAGTTTCATGACAATAACTTGTGTGTAAGTGTTTGGATATTTCTGAAATTGTACTACAAGGTTCCATATCACAAAGGGAAAGCTGGAATTGAGTTTGGGGGTAATTGCCCGAAACGTTTAGGAATTGGGGGCCAAAAAGGGGCCAAAAATAAGCATTTTTCTAGTTTCCAGACAATAACTTGTGTTCAAGTGTATGGATCTCTCTGAAATTGTACTGCAAGGTACCATACCACAAAGGGAAGGCTGGGATTGAGTTTGGGGGTGATGAATCATAAGGGGGTTCAAAAAATTTGGGGGGGGGATTTTTTTTTTTTCTTTTTTTTTCTTTTTTTCCTTTTTTTTTTCTTTTAAAATTTTCCATTTTAAGTTGGTTATTTCTGATTAATATTTAAAAGCAAATAATAATGATATGGTAGGGGATACACACCAAACAGGATGTGTAAATTATTATATAATAAGTATTGTGCAATAGCAAGAAATTTTCAATTGCACAGTATTGCACAATTGCAAGAAATCTTCAATTGCACAGTATTGCGCAATAGCAAGAAATCTTCAATTGCACAGTATTGCGCAATAGCAAGAAATATCCAATAGCACAATATTGCGCAATAGCAAGAAATTGTCAATTGTACAGTATTGCACAATAGCAAGAAATATTCAATTGCACAGTATTGTGCAAAAGAAGATACTTCGTATAAATTGCTTATTTCTTGATCAATTTCAATGGGGTTTTATTCTTGAATTCTTGGGGTTCTTTAATATTCTGAATCTAACCGTGTAATAAGTTTTTGGATTTTGGGCCCCGATTGTAAATTGGTCCACATTGAGGTCCAAAGGGTCCAAAATTTAACTTTGTTTGATTTCATCAAAAATTGAATAATTGGGGTTCTTTGATATGCCAAATCTAACCGTGTATTTAGATTCTTAATTTTTGGTTCCGTTTTCAAATTGGTCTACATTAAGGTCAAAAGGGTCCAAAATTAAACTTAGTTTGATTTTAACAAAAATTGAATTTTTTGGGTTCTTTGATATGCTGAATCTAAACATATATTTAGATTTTTGATTATGGGCCCAGTTTTCAAGTTGGTCCAAATCGGGGTCCAAAATTAAACTTTGTTTGATTTCAACAAAAATTGAATATATGGGGTTCTTTGATATGCTGAATCTAACCATGTATTTAGATTTTTGATTTTTGGGCCCCGTTATCAACTGTGTCCACATTGAGGTCAAAAGGGTCCAAAATTAAACTTTGTTTGATTTCATCAAAAATTGAATTCTTGGGGTTCTTTGATATGCTGAATCTAACCATGTATTTAGATTTTTTATTTGTGGACCCGCTATCAAATTGGTTCATATTGAGGTCAAAAGGGTCCAAAATTAAACTTTGTTTGATTTCATCAAAAATTGAATTATTGGGGTTCTTTGATATGCCAAATCTAACGGTGTATTTAGATTTTTAATTTTGGGTCCCGTTTTTAAATTGGTCTACATTAAGGTCCAAAGGGTCCAAAATTAAACTTAGTTTGATTTTAACAAAAATTGAATTCTTGGGGTTCTTTGATATGCTGAATCTAAACATGTGTTTAGATTTTTGATTATGGGCCCAGTTTTCAAGTTGTTCCAAGTTGGGGTCCAAAATTAAACTTGGTTTGATTTCAACAAAAATTGAATATATGGGGTTCTTTGATATGCTGAATCTAAACATGTATTAAGATTTTAGATTTTTGGCCCAGTTTTCAAGTTGGTCCAAATTGGGGTCCAAAATTAAATTTTGTTTGATTTCAACAAAAATTGAATATATGGGGTTCTTTGATATGCTGAATCTTACCATGTATTTAGATTTTTTATTTGTGGGCCCGCTATCAAATTGGTTCATATTGAGGTCAAAAGGGTCCAAAATTAAACTTTGTTTGATTTCATCAAAAATTGAATTATTGGGGTTCTTTGATATGCCAAATCTAACCGTGTATTTAGATTTTTCCTTTTGGGTCCCGTTTTTTAAATTGGTCTACATTAAGGTCCAAAGGGTCCAAAATTAAACTTAGTTTGATTTTAACAAAAATTGAATTTTTTGGGTTCTTTGATATGCTGAATCTAAACATGTGTTTAGATTTTTGATTATGGGCCCAGTTTTCAAGTTGGTCCAAGTTGGGGTCCAAAATTAAACTTTGTTTGATTTCAACAAAAATTGAATATATGGGGTTCTTTGATATGCTGAATCTAAACATGTATTTAGATTTTAGATTTTTGGCCCAGTTTTCAAGTTGGTCCAAATTGGGGTCCAAAATTAAACTTGGTTTGATTTCAACAAAAATTGAATATATGGGGTTCTTTGATATGCTGAATCTTACCATGTATTTAGATTTTTTATTTTGTGGGCCCGCTATCAAATTGGTTCATATTGAGGTCAAAAGGGTCCAAAATTAATCTTTGTTTGATTTCATCAAAAATTGAATTATTGGGGTTCTTTGATATGCCAAATCTAACCGTGTTTTTAGATTTTTAATTTTGGGTCCCGTTTTTTAAATTGGTGTACATTAAGGTCCAAAGGGTCCAAAATTAAACTTAGTTTGATTTTAACAAAAATTGAATTCTTGGGGTACTTTGATATGCTGAATCTAAACATGTGTTCAGATTTTTGATTATGGGACCAGATTTCAAGTTTGTCCAAGTTGGGGTCCAAAATTAAACTTTGTTTGATTTCAACAAAAATTGAATATATGGGGTTCTTTGATATGCTGAATCTAACCATGTATTTTGATTTTGGACATTGGACCATAATAGGTAAATTAAAAAAATTGAAGTTCTTAGACCACATTCTTTCTGTGTCAGAAACCTATGCTGTGTCAAATATTTAATCACAATCCAAATTCAGAGCTGTATCAAGCTTGAATGTTGTGTCCATACTTGCCCCAACTGTTCAGGGTTCGACCTCTGCGGTCGTATCAAGCTGCGCCCAGCGAAGCATTTTATTGATTATGGGCCCAGTTTTCAAGTTGGTCCAAATCGGGGTCCAAAATTAAACTTTGTTTGATTTCAACAAAAATTGAATATATGGGGTTCTTTGATATGCTGAATCTAACCATGTATTTAGATTTTTCATTTTTGGGCCCCGTTATCAACTTTGTCCACATTGAGATCAAAAGGGTCCAAAATTAAACTTTGTTTGATTTCATCAAAAATTGAATTCTTCGGGTTCTTTGATATGCTGAATCTAACCGTGTATTAAGTTTTTGGATTTTGGGCCCCGTTTTTAAATTGGTCCACATTGAGGTCCAAAGGGTACAAAATTTAACTTTGTTTGATTTCATCAAAAATTGAATTATTGGGGTTCTTTGATATGCCGAATCTAACCGTGTATTTAGATTCTTAATTTTTGGTTCCGTTTTCAAATTGGTCTACGTTAAGGTCCAAAGGGTCCAAAATTAAACTTAGTTTGATTTTAACAAAAATTGAATTTTTAGGGTTCTTTAATATGCTGAATCTAAACATGTATTTAGATTTTTGATTATGGGCCCAGTTTTCAAGTTGGTCTAAATCGGGGTCCAAAATTAAACTTTGTTTGATTTCAACAAAAATTGAATATATGGGGTTCTTTGATATGCTAAATCTAACCATGTATTTAGATTTTTGATTTTTGGGCCCCGTTATCAACTTTGTCCATTTATTCATACATTTTTATATGACCGTAAAATTTTTGCAGTTGTATAATGTTATGACGTTGTCAGTGTGCATCATAGTCGTCTGAGGACATTTGGTTTCCAGACAATAACTTGAGAATAAGTGTATGGATCTCTATGAAATTGTTAGACAAGGTTCCATACCAAAAAAGGAAGGATGGGATTGATTTTGGGGGTTATTAATCTAACTGATTAGGAATAAGGGACCAAAACAATACTTTTCTAATACTTTGTATAAATTGCTTATTTCTTGAACAATTTCCATGGGGTTTATTTCAAGTCCTGAATTCTTTGGTAAATATGCTGAATCTAACCGTGTATTTAGATTTTGGATTTTGGGCCCTGTTTTTAGATTGGTCCACATTGAGGTCCAAAGGGTTCAAAATGAAACTTTGTTTGATTTCATCAAAAATTGAATTATATGGGTTCTTTGATATGCTGATTCTATCTGTGTATTTAGATTATTAATTTTGGGGCCTTTTTTTCATACGATCACAAAAAATTTTTGCGGTTGTATATTGGTATGACGTTGGCGTTGTCGTCGTCGTCCGAAGACACATTGGTTTTCGCACTCTAACTTTAGTTTAAGTGAATGGATCTCTTTGAAATTTTACCATAAGGTTAAATACCACAAAAGGAAGGTTGGGATTGATTTTGGGGGTTATGGTACCAACAGTTAAGGAATTAGGGGCCGAAGAGGGGCCAAAAATAAGCATTTTCTAGTTTCCAGACAATAACTGTGGAATGGTGTATGGATCTCTGAAATTATACTACAAGTTTCCATACCACAAAGGGATGGTGAGGATTTGCTTTGGGGGTTATGGCTCAAATCGTTTAGGAATTAGGGGCAAAAAAGGGGGAAAAACAAGGTTGTCCTGGTTAATGGACATATACTTTTGTACAAAACATAATTTAAAGCAGTGTAAGGAAGATAAATCAAATACATCATTGAAATTACCTCCCTTACACTGCTTTTAAATTATGTATGAAGTAATGGTTAATAAACAATTAAGATAATTTAAAACAGTGTAAGGGAGGTTATCCAAATACAACGTTTTGGTTACTTCCCTTACACTGCTTTTAAATTATGTTTAAAGAAATGCATATTTATAAAGGAAGACCAGTAAAAATATCTGCAAATGTTGCATCTTTTTTTTTTACAAAAAAATCCATATGAAAGATTTGACACTATATTTTAAATTCTATTATAAAATAGATTAAGTTAGCACTATGGTAAATTTAAATGGGTAATTATGGTTGCAAACTCCATTGGAAATTTGAATTGAGATTATGACCATATCTTGAGGGAAAGAATTTTTTGGGGTAAAAAGAAATTGTGGGGGGTAAATTTTTTCTCATTTCAGATTTCAGAAATTAAAAAGAATTATTCTTCAAATATTTTTTTTTTTTTCAAATTTCAAATATTGAAAAATTTCAAGAAGTAATCTTTAATTGCACAGTATGGGGCATTAGATTTGTAAAATCTTTGACCACATTCATATATTTGTTATGCCGAATCTAACCGTGTATTTAGATTTTTAATTTTGGGTCCAGTTTTCAAATTGGTCTACATTAAGGTCCAAATGGTCCAAAATTAAACTTTGTTTGATTTTAACAAAAATTGAATATATGGGGTTCTTTGATATGCTGAATTTAAACATGTAATTAGATTTTTGATTTTTGGCCCAGTTTTCAAGTTGGTCCAAATTGGGGTTCAAAATTAAACTTTGTTTGATTTCAACAAAAATTGAATATATGGGGTTCTTTGATATGCTGAATCTAACCATGTATTTAGATTTTTTATTTGTGGACCCCGCTATCAAATTGGTTCATATTGAGGTCAAAAGGGTCCTAAATTAAACTTAGTTTGATTTCATCAAAAATTGAATTACTGGGGTTCTTTGATATGCCAAATCTAACAGTGTATTTAGATTTTCAATTTTTGGGTCCTGTTTTTGTCGAGCCTGCGACTTTTGTCGCAGAAAGCTCGACATAGGGAGAGCGATCCGGCGGCGGCGGCTACGGCGGCGGCGGCGGCGTTAGCTAACTTCTTAAAAGCTTTATATTTTAGAAGGTGGAAGACCTGGATGCTTCATACTTTGTATATGGATGCCTCATGTTACGAAGTTTCCGTCAGTCACATGTCCAATTTCCTTGACCTCATTTTCATGGTTCAGTGACTACTTGAAAAAAAAGTTCAGATTATTTGTAATGTTAAATTCTCTCTTATTATAAGTAATAGGATAACTATATTTAGTATGTGCGTACCTTGCAAGGTCCTCATGCCTGTCAGACAGTTTTCACTTGACCTCGACCTCATTTCATGGATCAGTGAACAAGGTTAAGTTTTGGTGGTCAAGTCCATATCTCAGATACTATAAGCAATAGGTCTAGTATATTTGGTGTATGGAAGGACTGTAAGGTGTGCATGTCCAACTGGCAGGTGTCATCTGACCTTGACCTCATTTTCATGGTTCAGTGGTTATAGTTAAGTTTTTGTGTTTTGGTCTGTTTTTCTTATACTGTATGCAATAGGTCTATTATATTTGGTGTATGGAATGATTGTAAGGTGTACATGTCCAACTGGCAGGTGTCATCTGACCTTGACCTCATTTTCATGGTTCAGTGGTTATAGTTAAGTTTTTGTGTTTTGGTCCGTTTTTCTTATACTTTATCCAATAGGTCTACTATATTTGGTGTATGGAATGATTGTAAGGTGTACATGTCCAACTGGCAGGTGTCATCTGACCTTGACCTCATTTTCATGGTTCAGTGGTTATAGTTAAGTTTTTGTGTTTTGGTCCGTTTTTCTTATACTTTATCCAATAGGTCTACTATATTTGGTGTATGGAATGATTGTAAGGTGTACATGTCCAACTGGCAGGTGTCATCTGACTTTGACCTCATTTTCATGGTTCAGTGGTCAAAGTTAAGTTTTTGAGTTTTGATCTTTTTTCTTATACTATTATGCAATAAGTCAACTATATTTGGTGTATGGAAATATTCTATGATGTACATGTCAGTCTCGCAGGTTTTATTTGACCTTGACCTCATTTTCACAGTTCATTGCTCAGTGTTAAGTTTATGTGTTTCAGTCTGTTTTTCTTAAACTATAAGCAATAGGTCAGCTATATTTGTTGTATGGAAGGATTGTAAGCTGTTCATGTCTGCCTGGCATAGTTCATCTGACTTTGACCTCATTTTCACGATTCATTGGTCAATGTTTAGTTTTCTTGGTTAAGTCTGTTTCTTAGAAACTATAAGCAATAGGTCAACTATATTTAGTGTATTGAATGATTGTAAGGTGTACATGTATTTCTTGTTTGGTTTATATGACCTTGACTTCATTTTCTTGGATCTTGTTAAGTTTATGTAATAGTTGTAGTAAAGCTTTCATTTAGGACTATCAACATAATATCAATGGTTAGTAAAGAAGGCGAGACATTTCAGCGTGTCCACTCTTGTTTAAATTGGTCTACATTAAGGTCCAAAGGGTCCAAAATTAAACTTAGTTTGATTTTAACAAAAATTGAATTCTTGGGGTTCTTTGATAAGCTGAATATAAACATGTGTTTAGATTTTTGATTATGGGCCCAGTTTTCAAGTTGGTCCAAGTTGGGGTCCAAAATTAAACTTTGTTTGATTTCAACAAAAATTGAATAAATGGGGTTCTTTGATATGCTGAATCTAAACATGTATTTAGATTTTTATACGACCGCAAAAAAATTTTTGTGGTCGTATATTGGTATGACGTTGGCGTCGTCGTCGTCCGGCGTCGTCCGAAGACACATTGGTTTTCGCACTCTAACTTTAGTTTAAGTGAATGGATCTTTATGAAATTTTACCACAAGGTTCAATACCACAAAAGGAAGGTTGGGATTGATTTTGGGGGTTATGGTAATAACAGTAAAGGAATTAGGGGCCAAAAAGGGGCCAAAAATAAGCATTTTTGTAACTTCCAGACATAACTTGTGTGTTAGTGTATGGATCTCTCTGACATTGTACCACAAGGTTCCATATCACTAAAGGAATGCTGGGATTGATTTTGGGGGTAATTGCCTCCAAATTTTAGGAATTAGGGGCCAAAAAAGGGGCAAAAAACAAGCATTTTTCTAGTTTCATGACAATAACTTGTGTGTAAGTGTATGGATCTTTCTGAAATTGTACTACAAGGTTCCATATCACAAAGGGAAAGCTGGGATTGAGTTTGGGGGTAATTGCCCTAAACGTTTAGGAATTTGGGGCCAAAAAACACATTTTTTTCTAGTTTCCAGACAATAACTTGTGTTCAAGTGTATGGATCTCTCTGAAATTGTACTGCAAGGTACCATACCACAAAGGGAAGGCTGGGATTGAGTTTGGGGGTTATGAATCATAATGGGGGTTCAAAAAATTTTGGGGGGGGGATTTTTTTTTTTTTCCTTTTTTTTCTTTTTTTTCCTTTTTTGTTTCTTTTAAAATTTTCCATTTTAAGTTGGTTATTTCTGATTTATATTTAAAATCAAATAATAATGATATGGTAGGAGATACACACCAAACAGGATGTGTAAATTATTATATAATAAGTATTGTGCAATAGCAAGAAATTTTCAATTGCACAGTATTGCACAATAGCAAGAAATCTTCAATTGCACAGTATTGCGCAATAGCAAGAAATCTTCAATTGCACAGTATTGCGCAATAGCAAGAAATATCCAATAGCACAATATTGCGCAATAGCAAGAAATTGTCAATTGTACAGTATTGCGCAATAGCAAGAAATATTTAATAGCACAGGATTGTGCAAAAGAAGATACTTCCTATAAATTGCTTATTTCTTGACCAATTTCAATGGGGTTTTATTCTTGATTTCATTGGGTTCTTTAATATGCTGAATCTAACCGTGTATTAAGTTTTTGGATTTTGGGCCCCGTTTTTAAATTGGTCCACATTGAGGTCCAAAGGGTCCAAAATTAAACTTTGTTTGATTTCATCAAAAATTGAATTATTGGGGTTCTTTGATATGCCGAATCTAACTGTGTATTTAGATTCTTAAATTTTGGTTCCGTTTTCAAATTGGTCTACATTAAGGTCCAAAGGGTCCAAAATTAAACTTAGTTTGATTTTAACAAAAATTGAATTCTTTGGGTTCTTTGATATGCTGAATCTAAACATGTATTTAGATTTTTGATTATGGGCCCAGTTTTCAAGTTGGTCCAAATCGGGGTCCAAAATTAAACTTTGTTTGATTTCAACAAAAATTGAATATATGGGTTTTTTTGATATGCTGAATCTAACCATGTATTTAGATTTTTGATTTTTGGGCCCCGTTATCAACTTTGTCCACATTGAGGTCAAAAGGGTCCAAAATTAAACTTTGTTTGATTTCATCAAAAATTGAATTATTGGGGTTCTTTGATATGCCGAATCTAACCGTGTATTTAGATTCTTAATTTTTGGTTCCGTTTTCAAATTGGTCTACATTAAGGTCCAAAGGGTCCAAAATTAAACTTAGTTTGATTTTAACAAAAATTGAATTCTTAGGGTTCTTTGATATGCTGAATCTAAACATGTATTTAGATTTTTGATTATGGGCCCAGTTTTCAAGTTGGTCCAAATCGGGGTCCAAAATTAAACTTTGTTTGATTTCAACAAAAATTGAATATATGGGGTTCTTTGATATGCTGAATCTAACCATGTATTTAGATTTTTGATTTTTGGGCCCCGTTATCAACTTTGTCCACATTGAGGTCAAAAGGGTCCAAAATTAAACTTTGTTTGATTTCATCAAAAATTGAATTCTTGGGGTTCTTTGATATGCTGAATCTAACCATGTATTTAGATTTTGGATATTGGACCATAATAGGTGAATGTCCAATTTAAAATTTTTAAGTTCTTAGACCACATTCAATCTGTGTTAGAAACCTATGCTGTGTCAAATATTTAATCACAATCCAAATCAAAAGCTGTATCAAGCTTGAATGTTGTGTCCATACTTCCCCCAACTGTTCAGGGTTCGACCTCTGCGGTCGTATCAAGCTGCGCCCTGCGGAGCATTTTATTTATTTGTGGGCCCTGCTATCAAATTGGTTCATATTGAGGTCAAAAGGGTCCAAAATTAAACTTTGTTTGATTTCATCAAAACTTGAATTATTGGGGTTCTTTGATATTCCAAATATAACTGTGTATTTAGATTTTTAATTTTGGGTCCCGTTTTTATACGACCGCAAAAAATTTTGCGGTCGTATATTGGTATGACGTTGGCGTCGTCCGAAGACACATTGGTTTTCGCACTCTAACTTTAGTTTAAGTGAATGGATCTCTATGATATTTTACCATAAGGTTCAATACCACAAAAGGAAGGTTGGGATTGATTTTGGGGGTTATGGTACCAACAGTTAAGGAATAAGGGGCCAAAAATAAGCATTTTTGTAACTTCCAGACATAACTTGTGTGTTAGTGTATGGATCTCTCTGACATTGTACCACAAGGTTCCATATCACTAAAGGAATGCTGGGATTGATTTTGGGGGTAATTGCCTCCAAATTTTAGGAATTAGGGGCCAAAAAAGGGGCAAAAAACAAGCATTTTTCTAGTTTCATGACAATAACTTGTGTGTAAGTGTATGGATCTTTCTGAAATTGTACTACAAGGTTCCATATCACAAAGGGAAAGCTGGGATTGAGTTTGGGGGTAATTGCCCTAAACGTTTAGGAATTTGGGGCCAAAAAACACATTTTTTTCTAGTTTCCAGACAATAACTTGTGTTCAAGTGTATGGATCTCTCTGAAATTGTACTGCAAGGTACCATACCACAAAGGGAAGGCTGGGATTGAGTTTGGGGGTTATGAATCATAATGGGGGTTCAAAAAATTTTGGGGGGGGGATTTTTTTTTTTTTCCTTTTTTTTCTTTTTTTTCCTTTTTTGTTTCTTTTAAAATTTTCCATTTTAAGTTGGTTATTTCTGATTTATATTTAAAATCAAATAATAATGATATGGTAGGAGATACACACCAAACAGGATGTGTAAATTATTATATAATAAGTATTGTGCAATAGCAAGAAATTTTCAATTGCACAGTATTGCACAATAGCAAGAAATCTTCAATTGCACAGTATTGCGCAATAGCAAGAAATCTTCAATTGCACAGTATTGCGCAATAGCACACACAGGGAATGCTGGGATTGATTTTGGGGGTAATTGCCTCAAAATATTAGGAATTAGGGGCCAAAAAAGGGGCAAAAAACAAGCATTTTTCTAGTTTCATGACAATAACTTGTGTGTAAGTATATGGATCTTTCTGAAATTTTACTACAAGGTTCCATTTCACAAAGGGAAAGCTGGAATTGAGTGTTGTGGTAATTGCCCAAAACGTTTAGTAATAAGGGGCCTAAAAAGGGGTTTAAAATAAGCATTTTTTAGTTTCTAGACAATAACTTGTGTTCAAGTGTATGGATCTCTCTAAAATTGTATTACAAGGTACCATACCACAAAGGCAAGGCTGTTATTGAGCTTGGTTTGGGGGGAAAGGGGGGTGGGGGTGATGAATCATAAGGGGGGCGGGGGTCAAAAAAGGGGTAATTTTTTTTTTTCCTTTTTTTTTTGTTTAAAATTTACATTTTAAGTTAGTTATTTTTTATCACGAAGAGAAAGTAGGAATTGAGTTTCGGGGTTAATTGCTCAAACATTTATGAATAAGGGGCCAAATATTGGTCGAAAATAAGGATTTTTTTAGTTTGCAACAAAAACTTGTGTTCAAGTGTATGGATCTCTGTGAAATTGTATTGCAATGTACCATACCACAAATTGAAGGTTGTGATTTAGGTGGGGGATGATGAATCAAAAGGGGGTTGAAAAAATGTGTTGGGGGTAGGATTTTTTTTTTCCTTATTTTTTCTTTAAAATTTTCCATTTAAAGATGGTTGTTTCAGATTTATATATGAAAGAAAATAATAATGATACGGTTATATATCATGAGGAACTGAAATTTAAAGTTATGTATATTGGAAATTTAGGTTACATTGGAAAGTAATAATTGGCTTTGGGGGGGGGGGGGGGGTGGTTATGGCTCTAATGTTTAAGGAATAAAGGTTAAAAAACAAGGGTTTCCATTTTAATAGAAAAATAATTGAGTAAAGAACATTATTTAAAAGCAGTGTAAGGCTGGTAATTCAAACTCATTTAAATATCTCATCTACACTGCTTTTAAATTATGTAAATTGGAAATTTGCCAATAACTTTATTGTTAATAAATGCATTGGAAATTTGCCAACAATTTTAGTGTAATAAACTTCATTGGAAATTTGCCAATATAAAATTTTGCTGATGAAGGTTTTTTGTTTACCTTTAGCCTTGACTATGAAGTCATTTTCTATTTTTATAGCCTTATGATGTAGTTGAATTATTTAATACTTTTATGATGTGTTTAAATGGGGTTTTATCATGTTTATGGTTGCAAATTTATTGTTTTAGTATAATAAACTCCATTTAAAATTTGCCAATAAAAAAATTTTTGTTTATTTTTAGCTATGATTATGATGTCATTTTCTATTTTACTTTTATGGTTGCAAAGAAATTTTTATTTTTAGATATTACTGTTAAATGATGCTGATTAAGGTTTTTGCTATGTTTAGCCATGACTATGATGTCATTTTCTATTTTAATATCTGTTATGATGTATTTAAATGGGCTTTTATGGTTACAAAGGAATTTTATTTTTAGATATTACTATAAAATGTTGCTGATGCTGATTAAGGATTTTGTTTATTTTTAGCCATGACTATGATGTCATTTTCTATTTTAATACCTTTATGATGTAATTTCCATTTTTAGATATTACTGTTAAATGATGCTTATTAAGGGTTTTTTGCTATGTTTAGCCATGACTATGATGTCATTTTCTATTTTAATATCTTTATGATGTATTTAAATGGGCTTTTATGGTTACAAAGGAATTTTATTTTTAGATATTACTTTAAATGTTGCTGATTAAGGATTTTTGTTTATTTTTAGCCATGACTATGATGTCACTTTCTATTTTAATACCTTTATGATGTATTTAAATGGGCTCCCATGTATTTAGATTTTTGATTATTTATACATGTTACCAAATTGGTCCACATTGAACAAAAACGGTCCAAATTTCAACTTTATTACATTACATCAAACATTGAATTCTACATATTCTTTGATATATTGAAATTAACAAACAATTTAGTTTATGGATATTCCACCATAATAGGTAAATTAAATTTTTTCCAGTTCTTACACCACATTCATCCTGTGTCAGAAACCTATGCTGTGTCAAATATTTAATGACAATCCAAAGTCATAGCTGTATCAAGCTTGAATTTTGTGTCCATACTTGCCCCAACTGTTCAGGGTTCGACCTCTGCGGTCGTATCAAGCTGCGCCCCAGCGAAGCATTTTATTCTAGTTTCATGACAATAACTTGTGTGTAAGTGTTTTGATATTTCTTAAATTGTACTACAAGGTTCCATATCATAAAGGGAAAGCTGGAATTGAGTTTGGGGGTAATTGCCCGAAATGTTTAGAAATTGGGGGCCAAAAATAAGCATTTTTCTAGTTTCCAGTCAATAACTTGTGTTCAAGTGTATGGATCTCTCTGAAATTGTACTGCAAGGTACCATACCACAAAGGGAAGGCTGGGATTGATGATGGGGGTAACTGCCTCAATATGTTAGGAATTAGGGGCAAAAAAGGGGCAAAAAACAAGCATTTTTGTAGTTTCGGGACAATAACTTGTGTGTAAGTGTATGGATCTTTATGAAATTGTACTACAAGGTTCCATATCACAAAGGGAAAGCTGGGTTTGAGTTTGGGGGTAATTGCCCTAAACGTTTAGGAATTTGGGGCCAATAAGGGGCCAAAAAACATATTTTTCTAGTTTCCAGACAATGACTTGTGTTCAAGTGTATGGATCTCTCTGAAATTGTACTGCAAGGTACCATACCACAAAGGAAAGGCTGGGATTGAGTTTGGGGGTGATGAATCATAAGGGGGTTCAAAATATTTTGGGGGCGGGGGATTTTTTTTTTTTTTCCTTTTTTCTTTCTTGTAAAATTTTCCATTTTAAGTTGGTTATTTCTGATTTATATTTAAAAGCAAATAATAATGATATGGTAGGAGATACACACCAAACAGGATGTGTTAATTATTATATAATAAGTATTGTGCAATAGCAAGAAATTTTCAATTGCACAGTATTGTACAATAGCAAGAAATCTTCAATTGCACAGTATTGCGCAATAGCAAGAAATCTTCAATTGCACAGTATTGCACAATAGCAAGAAATATCCAATAATACAATATTGCGCAATAGCAAGAAATTGTCAATTGTACAGTATTGCGCAATAGCAAGAAATATTCAATTGCACAGTATTGTGCAAAAGAAGATACTTCCTATAAATTGCTTATTTCTTGACCAATTTCAATGGGGTTTTATTCTTGAATTCTTGGGGTTCTTTAATATGCTGAATCTAACCGTGTATTAAGTTTTTGGATTTTGGGCCCCGTTTTTAAATTGGTCCACATTGAAGTCCAAAGGGTCCAAAATTAAACTTTGTTTGATTTCATCTAAAATTGAATTATTGGGGTTCTTTGATATGCCGAATCTAACCGTGTAGTTAGATTCTTAATTTTTGGTTCTGTTTTCAAATTGGTCTACATTAAGGACCAAAGGGTCCAAAATTAAACTTAGTTTGATTTTAACAAAAATTGAATTCTTAGGGTTCTTTAATATGCCGAATCTAAACATGTATTTAGATTTTTGATTATTGGCCCAGTTTTCAAGTTGGTCCAAATCGGGGTCCAAAATTAAACTTTGTTTGATTTCAACAAAAATTGAATATATGGGGATCTTTGATATGCTGAATCTAACCATGTATTTAGATTTTTGATTTTTGGGCCCCATTATCAACTTTGTCCACATTGAGGTCAAAAGGGTCCAAAATTAAACTTTGTTTGATTTCATCAAAAATTGAATATTTGGGGTTCTTTGATATGCTGAATCTAACCATGTATTTAGATTTTGGATATTGGACCATAATAGGTGAATGTCCAATTTAAAATTTTTAAGTTCTTAGACCACATTCATTCTGTGTCAGAAACCTATGCTGTGTCAAATATTTAATCACAATCCAAATTCAGAGCTGTATCAAGCTTGAATGTTGTGTCCATACTTGCCCCAACTGTTCAGGGTTCGACCTCTGCGGTCGTATCAAGCTGCGCCCTGCGGAGCATTTTATTTAAATTGGTCTACATTAAGGTCCAAAGGGTCCAAAATTAAACTTAGTTTGATTTTAACCAAAATTGAATTCTTGGGGTTCTTTGATATGCTGAAACATTGGAAACATTAATTACATGGAAAATTGCATCGTTAGTGCTCTCATGTTCAATTCTTGCCAGATTTTTATGAAATTTATAACATAGGTTTATATCAGCAATGTCTTGGACGAGTTCGAAAAATCAGTACCGATCAATTTTTTTTAAATGAGTTATGTCCCTTGGAAACATAAGATATATGGAAAATTGCATTGTTAGCGCTCTCGTGTACAATTATTGCCAGAATTTTAAGAAACTTAAATCATAGGTTTATATTAGCAATGTCTTTGATGAGTTTGAAAATCAGTGACGATAAATAATTTCTAAAAGAGTTATGCCCCTTGGAAATATTAATTACATGGAAAATTGCCTTATGAGTGCTCTAATGTGTACAATTCTTGCCAGATTTTTATGAAATTTATATTATAGGTTTATATCATCAATGACTTTGACGAGTTCAAAAATCAGTGCTGATTAATTATTTTTAAAAGAGTTATGCCCCATGGAAATATTGATTATATGGAAAATTGCATTGTCAGCGTTCTCATGTGTACAATTATTGCCAAAATTTTATGAAACTTATATATCATAGGTATATATCAGCAATGTCGTGGACACTTTCGAAAAATAATGCTGATCAAATATTTTTAACGAGTTTTGCCCCTTGGAAATATTAATTATAATGAAATCATATTGCATTTGCTCTGAAGCCTTCATTTTTCTTAGATATTAATAAAAAGTTTTAAAGAACAAAAAAAAAGTTCTTGTTTTAGTAATTGCCCTTGTACCTTGTATAGATAAAATATGTGCAACGCGGGGGACATTGGAACTCTGTGTTTTATATTTGTTTTCTTTTCAACTACAGACTTATTTTGTGTTTTTTTAATCTAGGATTGTTTGATAAAGGTTCGAGAAATACTGCAAGCAGGGAAATGGGTCCGAAATGGAATTTGGGATAATAAAGAGGTAAGAATAAAGAGCATTGCTATTGGTGGAACCACTTTTTTGGAGACATTGAATTTTTTAACTCCATTTGAAAGACCATTTGAGCTTATGTGTCTGATATGTCCATTCTGTAATATTACGTTGACTGTCTATCCAACCAACATCCTATAAACAGCTTAATTGTTTCTCCTTTTCTTTCGTTCTACTGTAACTAAAAGGACAGCTTGAACCACATTCCACAATAATGATTTGAGTAATGAATGTTATAATCAAATTCAAGAGGCAATTTGTTAATCTATTATTAAAGAATGTAGAAGGTCCAGTAACAACAACACTTTAAGGAATGCTCCAGTAATTTATTGAGATCGACATGTTTCAGTGGCTAGACTGATGACGGTGGCCTAGCCACCAAAACATGTCGATCTCAATAAATTACTGGAGCATTCCTTAAAGTGTTGTTGTTACTGGACCTTCTACATTTTATGTTTTTATCGTAACGACCCTGCATACCCGAGGTATCCACTTTATGGAATCTACTGACAGAAGATTTACCAGGCATTGGTTCACTTGTGTTTTTATTTATTATTAAAGAAAAACAATCCAAATCTCAGTTCACAGATTTTCAACAGAGTATAGAAATAAGGAGTGTGGTATGATTGCCAACAAGACAACTATCCACCAGAGTTCAAATGACGAAGATAAAAGTAGTTATAGGTCACTGTACAGCCTTCAACAATGAGTGGCATATTTTTATTTTTGGGGTGGGAATCTCATGGGTTGGGGATACATGTCATACATGAGATTAATAAAACATACTGTATATTCAGCTTTAAAGGCCAGACATGAAAAAATGTGAAACAATTCAAAAGAGAAAACTAACAGCCTAATTTATACAATACGATTTATGAAAAACAAATATGACAGACATGAACCAATGACAACCACTGAATTACATACTCCTGACTTGAGACAGGCACATAAAGAATGTGGCGGGGTTAAACATGTTTGTGAATGCTCAACTCTCCCTTTGAGATGGGACAGAGGTGTTACAGCACAACATACATCAGGGATCTCCATGACCTGTTTTATGATGGCGCACTAACATTGTTAAATTATCTTCTGCCATCGTCAAATGATCTCTGTGATCGTTAAATTATCTTCCGCCATTGTCAAAATTTGTTTTTGTTTTGCTAGCCACCGCCATTTTTGTTGGCAATTATAATCAATTGTATGTATTTGCATAATCCTTTTTGTATTATAATCCAAAGGGTCCTCGTCCGGCTAAAGATCGCTAATCACTTGTACAGGTTGATCGACACAGCGGACAGGAGAACTCTTGATCAAGATAGACGATTAATTACATTATTTTATTTTCAGCAAACTCTAATGAAAATTTAGATTATAAAATAAATTTAAAATCCAGTTACAAAGGTTTAACAAGTCGAACACATGCTTTTATATTGACTTATGCAATCAGCATTCCCCTTTTTAAACGAGTACAGAATTAGACGTAAAACAGAACATAATTTCATGCCAAATAACACGAGTACAACAATTATCGATAATATTGAATCATTTTACAAGTTTAAAAGTAAATACAGTTGTACATGAATATTAACTAAAACTAGATAATCTGAAGAAATTTCGTATCGTAATTCCGAATTCATTTCGTAGTTTACAATCAAATTAATACAATCGGTTTACTTTCAGATTCGAAAAGATGCATGTTGCATAGTTTATTACTATGAAATTAACAATTTAAAGTCATTAAAACCATTTAAGTTGTAAACGTTTGCCCTCCAAATCTTACTTCAACGTTTTACAAAACGGGTACGTAACTATAATAATTAATACCATTATTTTCATATGCTTTATTACAAAAATTAATAACGAGTTCTTTAATAGAAGTATAAGGGAACTAGTCAACAGCACAGAAAGATTAGAAGTAGAGGCTTACTAGGGAGTTAAGTTAGTAATCCATTTTTATACTGATGCTGGATCGTGCAGTTTGTCTGGATGATATTAGGTAATAGCCAGCATCCAGCAGAAAGTTTTGAGTGTTAGCAGAATAATGTTAATCGGTTGTCCAAACAAGACTGATTTTTATACAACTGCAAAAAATTTTGTGGTTGTATATTGGTATCATGTCGTCGTCGTCAGCGTAGTCCGTAGACATTTGGTTTCCAGACAATAACTTTAGTATATGTAAATAGAAATCTATGAAATTTAAACACAAGGTTTATAACCACAAAAGGAAGGTTGGGATTGATTATGGGGGTTATGGTCTTAACAGTTTAGGAATTAGGGGCCAAAAAGGGGCCCAAATAAACATTTTTCTAGTTTCCAGACAATAACTTGTGGAAAAGTTTATGGACCTCTCTGAAATTAGACCACAAGTTTCCATACCACAAAGGGATGGTTAGGATTGGCTTTGGCGGGTTATGGCTCAAACCGTTTAGGAATAAGGGGCAAAAAAGGGGAAAAATAAAGGCAACAGTAGTATACCGCTGTTTGAAATTCAAAAATCGATTGAGAAAAAAACAAATCCGGGTTACAAACTAAAACTGAAGGAAACACATCAAATATAAGAGGAGAACTACGACACAATAGAAACACAACATTAAAAATGTAACACACACAGAACAATGGCCATTTTCCTGACTTGGTACAGGACATTTTAAGAAAAAAATGGTGGGTTGAACCAGGTTTTGTGGCTAGCCAAACCTCCGGCTTTTATGGCAATGTTAAATATAACATTAAAATGACAACATTACATGACAGGACTACAATACAAATAAATGGGAGAACATATAGGACAGAGAAACATACAAATAATAGCTAAGAAAAGGTACCAGGTTTAAAATTTAATACGCAAGACGCGCGTTTCGTCCACACAAGACTAACCAGTGACGCTCAAATCAAAAAAGTACGAAAGCCAAAACAAGTACAAAGTTGAAGAGCATTGAAGACCAAAAGTTCTAAAAAGTTGTGCCAAATACGGCTAAGGTTATATGTCTGGGATAAGAAAATCCTTAGTATTTAGAATAATTCATACTTTTGCAAACAGTAAATTTATAAAAATGACTATATAATATATATACATGATAATACCAAAGTTGTGACTAACTACAGAATAAAAAGGAATACATAAAACAACATAAACCAGCACATAAAAATTCACAGCTGAGTTAGCCAAAGAGATCAACGCAAAAAAAGTGACGTCACATTTGAATTTCTGAAATTTCCCCAAAATAGGATAGAATTAGGATAGAATTCAAGATTTGGTTTATAATACTCATATAACATTTATTAATAACAATGAAAATTACAATGCTGATAAATATAAAATGTGGTAGTAATTAGATAATTAATAGTATTATCTAGCTATGTCGGTGTTTCTTCTAAATCAAACTGTAAACCAAATATATTGTATAAATTTAGTTGACCCAAACTAAAATCTAATTACCGGGTAATGAACTGGGTGATTAATTATACCCCACGCAACGAGTTGTGGAGGGTATAATGTTTTTGACCCGTCCGTCTGTCCGTCCGCCAGTCCTGTTTCTTGTCATCGCAACTCCTCTCAAACCACACAACAGAATTTCACGAAACCTTTTTAGATAATAAGGACATACTATGTAGTTGTGCATATCGACAGGAAATTACGATTCAATTCTTTTTCTAGGAGTTACGCCCCTTTGAACTTATTTACTTTAATGTACTACTGCAACAGTTTGTCATCGCAACTCCTCTCAAACCACACAACAGAATTTCATGAAACCTTTTCAGATAATAAGGACATACTACGTAGATGTGCATATCGACAGGAAACTACGATTCAATTTTTTTTCCAGGAGTTACGCCCCTTTGAACTTATTTGCCCAATATACTACTGCAACCTTTTGTCATCGCAACTCCTCTCAAACCACACAATAGAATTTCATGAAACCTTTTCAGATAATAAGGACATACTATGTAGATGTGCATATCGTCAGGAAATTACGATTCAATTTTTTTTCCAGGAGTTACGCCCCTTTGAACTTATTTGCCCAATATACTACTGCAACATTTTGTCATCACAACTCCTCTCAAACCACACAACAGAATTTCATGAAACTGTGTCGATAATAAGGACATACTATGTAGTTGTGCATATTGACAGGAAATTATGATTCAATTTTTTTTTCTTACACTTATTTTATTTCTCCAATGACAATGTGGGGACGTGGGGTATGTGAGCGCGCTCACTAAGGTTCTTTCATTATCTTTACCATAACACACGAATACAACAGAAAAAAATAAGATTTACAATTACAAACGATAAGACATTTGACAAGGGTTTCCTAGTTAATGGACAATTACTTAAAAGTACAATGTTATGTTTGGATTATCTCCCTTGCACTGCTTTTAAATTATGTATAAAGAAATGTTGTATTGTCTTGAGGTGATTAGTGTCAATTTATTTTTAGAAGTTAATATTAAAAATGCTGATTAAGGAATATTAATTTTAGCCATGATTATGTATGTCATTTTCTTTTTTAAGACTTTTATGATGTATTTAAATGGGTAATTATGGTTGCAAACTCCATTGGAAATTTGAATTGAGATTATGACCATATCTTGATCAACGCAAAAAACTTTTTTTTTTATTTAAAAGGGGGGAGGTGAAAAAAAAATTGTGGGGGGGGGGGGGCAATTTTTTCTCAGTTCAGATTTCAGAAATAAAAAAGAAAATTTCTTCAAATATTGATGGGGGGTAAAAAAAATTTTTTTTTTTTTTTTTGGGGGGGGGGGGTTCAATTCGCAACAGCATAGTATATTGCACAAAAGCAATAAAAAAGGTGGGGTAAAAAAAAATTTTTTGGGGGGTGGGGGGTGGGGGTCAATTCGCAACAGCATAGTGTATTGCACAGAAGCAAAAAATTTAATATAAATTCAAATCATATAACCAATTTCAAGTTCTTTGACTACAGTTATTCTGTGTCAGAAACCCTATTATGTGTCAAATATTTAATTACAATCCAAATTCAGACCTGTATCAAGCGCGAATATTGTGTCCATTTTTGCCCCAACTGTTCAGGGTTGGACCTCTGCGGTCGTATCCAGCTGTGCTCGGCGAAGCAATTTATTTTATTTCATTTGATTGATCTTACTGGCTAACATGTTCATCTGTATTGTTACAATAATCATGCCTTACATTACCATGGTTACAGTAGGTCCAGATAGCCTGACTTGGTACATGCACAAAATGTGCTGAGGTTAAACCAGTTCTGAAACATGTGCACAATCCTCACATTTGGCCTATCTAGACCTTACATATCCCTATTTTGTGCATGTACCAGTGAAAAGACTTCCAAATTCTGAAATATCATGTATCGTCTCGTATTGTGTTTTCGACTGTCTTCCGTTTTCGACCTAATTCTACTTTTACTTCCCGTATGCTACGCATGCCCTAGTGAATTCATATTTGGCTGCTATATTTAGTAACAATAGCAAATAATACCACGTGTGGTGAAAATGTTTCAAGTAAAGTTATTATAATTAAGTATTAACGTTATTTTATTTGATATCACATTTTTGTACCTTTTCACTAATACTATTTTTACCTTCCACAAGAATCTAATAAAAAATAAACAAATATTCTAGAAATATGGCCGAGGTCTTTTAGCATGTGAAGTTAACATCAAGGTCATTAAGTCACATGACTGTCATGTGGTTAGTTGTAATACTTAAAGTTATTTTTAATACGGAAATGTGGATGATCCTTACAGCTTTTTGCTGGAAAAAATAAAATATCAATTAATTTTAATCCACAGAAACAGCAGTCTGTCAGGGGAGATTACAGACAATACTCACCAACCTCACTTCACAATGCCTTCACTAAAGTATATTGAACAGAAACATGACTGTATACAAGGTCCTACAAGGATCTACAAGGCTTCCAAAGTGCCTCATGTGAAATATGTACAACTAGTCAAATAAAGATATCAAAATAGTATTTTATATCTTATAGTTGTATATGTCACTATTTAATTCATTAAGTCATAAGTTTGATCGCCTCTAACAGTTTAAATAATTTGATATAAACATTGGCATCAAATTATAACCAATTCCGGATTTGTACGACATGTCATTTCCGACTTTGGATCCCTTTCTTAGATAGGTTGAAAACACAAGACGCTAGTTTTTGTCAACAAAGGTGCCATCAATCTAATGAGCTCAAATAAAAAAAATTATCTAAGATCAAAATATATTTTAGATACAATTATTTAATGTACAAGTATACTAGTGACTCTAATATTAGGCATGTATATGTTCATACATATAAAAGGGGAAATATTGATAAATATGTAAGTAGGTCGAAAACACAATACACGAGGATATAGGCTTGATTTCCCTATCAAACAGGCCTATCTCCTATATAAAAAAAAAGAAAAGGAGGAGATACGATGAGAGCCATCATTTTTATACGCCCGTTTACAAGACGTATTATGGTATACCTCTGTCCGTCCATCCATCGTCAACTTGTCGGACATTAACTCAAAAGGGCTTTAACCAATTTGCATAAAACTTTGGTGAATTGTTTATATCTATTGACGTGAGCTCCCTATCGTTTTTTATAACTTTTAGATTTTTCGTTTCCCAGTTATGGGGTTTTATTCATTAAAAAAAGGGGGATTTTCCAGTTTTCGGACAATAACTCAAGAATGCTTTCACCAACTTGCAAGAAATTGTGGTGAATTGTTTATATCTATTGACATGAGCTCCCTTTAGAATTTTATATATTTTAGATTTTACGTTTCCAAGTTACAGGGTTTTATTCATAAAAAAGGGGGATATGCCAGTTTTCGAACAAAAAATCAAAAATGCTTTCAGCAGTTCTTATGTGAATTGTTTATATCTATTGATGTAAGCTCCGTTTAGAATTTTATAAATTTTCCATTTTACATTTCTGAGTTATGGGGTTTTATTCATTAAAAAAGGGGGATTTTCCAGTTTTCGGACAATAACTCAAAAATGCTGTCAGCAATTCTCATGAAACTTTGGTGAATTGTTTATATCTATTGATGTAAGCTCCCTTTACATTTTCATAAATTTCTAATATGACATTGAGAATTACTAGAACTTTAATTGTTTATAGTCTGACAACAGATTTACTAAGTATTGCGCAACAGCACAGTGTATTGCACAACAGCAAGAAATCTTAATTGAATATAAATTCAATTCATATAACCAATTTCAAGTTCTTTGACTACATTTATTCAGAAACCTATAATATGTCAAATATTTAATACAATCCAAATTCAGACCTGTATCAAGCTCAGCGAAGCAGTTTATAATTTATATCACTGCAATTTGAAAAATAGTTTAATTATTCAAGCCTTTCAAAATAATGTTAAGTAATTAATTTCATTGATAAATAAACAATATAAAAACTGGACACTTTGGTGCAGAAAGGTCACTTGTGATCATAAACATGTCAAATTTAACATATTTGACCTTAAATGGCTAACATTGTTTTTGGACAGAAATGACTTAAAATATCGGCCAAGTCCTTATCCAAAGAGATTTTACATACATTAATCTCTTTGTAAAATAAATCTTCTACCAAATTATCTTTTTGGGTGAAGCCTTTGCTTATATCTAGATATAATGACAAACTCTAAAAATGAGGCTATTCTTGCTGTTTTAACAGTTTTGAACTAAATCCAAAATTTTGAGGCCTTATTACAAACAGTCAGGGCCTTTTACAGCTGTCTATACAGTATGGGTCTTGCTTTTTGTTGAAGGCCATATAGTGACCTAAAGTTGCTTACATGCAAGTCATTTGGACTCTATTGTATATTTAACTATTGGCAATCATAGCACATCTCCAAATGTTTATAAGAACCAAGTGAGCTTTTTCTTCACCTGCCATCATTTGTTGAGGTCCCGTTTTCCATTAACTTTTACAAACATCTTCTCCTCTGAAACTACTGGGCCAATTGGAACCAAACTTGGCCACAATCATCCTTCTTGAATCTTGTTTATAAAATGTGCCAGATAGTCCCACCTGGCAACCAACATGACCACCAAGGCTAAAAATAAAACATAGGGGCAAAATGCACTTACATGTGTATTGTTTATTATTTTGAAAGCTGTTAAAGGTAGAGAATATTTCTTGCCCTTTAATAATCATATGATAATGATTTTTACCCAATATTGGGTTTTTGGCAAACAATGTAGTAGATAAAGAAAACTGTATTCAGCAAAAATGATTAAAAATCAAGATCTATCAATAAGCCAGCAAAGATGAAAATGTCAGTGGACTCCTTATAGAAGTTATTGCCCTTAAATGATGATTTGTGTCTCTCCTCAAAGACACTGAAGTGTGAATCCGAAACTTAGTTGTGCTATTTCTAGTGGCAGCAACATCAACAATGGAGATTATTTAACCCTGCCCCCTCAGTCATGGTCTATTGACTTTGAAAGTTTTTCTTAATTTACATGTTAAAAGTTTGTGATTAGGTCAGTTTAAGGAGAACCACTAATGGTAGGTCAATGATGTTTGGTATCCATTTGTTTGAGGATGTCATTTATTCAACACTCAATCCTACCCTTTGGATGTTTACAAGGAAGCAGCATGGTTTTTTCAGGGACATGCATATTTTATTGGAATGGTAATGGTCTAAAAGCAGGTGAATTTATTTCGTGTTTCAATACTTAGACTTTAACATAGAAAAGCACTTTAAACAATGATAAAAAAAATTGTAGCATGATGGAGGCCTAATGTATATTCTGAGTGGGCTTGCCAATCTCTGCTGTGTTGTTTTTGAAAAAAAATTCAAATGTTAATTCAGTAAATTTGTGCAAATGTAATGTTAATGATCTTCTTTAAAAAGTAGGATTGCTGACCCCACTTGCCAATAGACATGGTTTCAATTGTTATCAAAATTTATCCCAAAAATTGACAAAAATTCTATCAAGTTTTAAATCCCATAATGTTGATTTTGTGATTTGAAAATTATGGTCGCTCATCCTTATCACTATCTATTATGTTATTCACAGTTGCAAACAAATTTAGAAAAAAACAAATCTATATTGTTAGATCTTTAGAGAAGTATTTAAGTATGTGGCTACATTGTACTAAGGTAATTATATATCAGGAATTATTTGATAAGCATATTTTTTTTTGTAAGAAAAATTATGAATTTGCCAGGCTTTTCAGAAATTTGATTGCTATCTCAATGATGGAACCAACAACAAATATCACTGATGAGACCAATCACTGCTGAAATGATAGAACCAACAACAAATATCACTGATGAGACCAGACACTGCTGAAATGATAGAACCAACAACAAATATCACTGATGAGACCAGACACTGCTGAAATGATGGAACCAACAACAAATATCACTGATGAGACCAGACACTGCTGAAATGATGGAACCAACAACAAATATCACTGATGAGACCAGACACTGCTGAAATGATGGAACCAACAACAAATATCACTGATGAGACCGGACACTGCTGAAATGATCGAACCAACAACAAATATCACTGATGAGACCGGACACTGCTGAAATGATGGAACCAACAACAAATATCACTGATGAGACCAGACACTGCTGAAATGATGGAACTAACAACAAATATCACTGATGAGACCAGACACTGCTGAAATGATGGAACCAACAACAAATATCACTGATGAGACCAGACACTGCTGAAATGATGGAACCAACAACAAATATCACTGATGAGACCAGACACTGCTGATATGATGGATATTTTCTTTTGGAAATATTTTGTTGTGAAACATTTCTTTTATTGAGACAGAGTTTTACATAATTATGTTTTTAAGGTTTGTGATAATGCTCATTAGAGCCTCAATTCACTTTTCACCATTACTTTCCCTCTAGGTTACAGTAAACTGTAGGTTTACATTAAAATGATTAAACTTTAAAAAATTTTTTTTGCAGATTGATTTTTTAAATCAACATTTATTTTTAACAGCCAAGCCTGTTATATATTTAGTGAACATGTCAGAGAAAGATTACATCAGAAAGAAGAATAAATGGTTAGTACTTTTAACTTAGTCTTTAGTTTAACTTGCTCAATTTAGAGTGTGGAAGTTATTCTGGTTAATCCTATAAAACATAGAGGACTTACTTTGCATTACTTTATCAGGCATATCCGAACAAGCAGTTAGGAAAGCCAAAAATATATAAATACATAAGGACTGTTATGAAGGTCAGCATTAAAGATTTGAAAGTTGTAATGGAAATTTTATTTCATATCTTATTAAGCACATTAAATTTGTAAACCACTTTAAATAATAACTAGCTTAACAAAAGAATTAGCTATTGACAAGTTTGCATGGAAACCCAACATATAACAAGATGACATTCAATTAACAGAAAATCATGGATAATCTTCATTGATCTTAGATATCGAGAAAAGGCTTTTTTATACACATGCTTCAACATACTCCAAAGAAGGGTGGTATACTGTTTTACCCTGTCGCTCCATATGTCTGTCCTTTTATCTGTCCAATGAAATTTCTGACATATTTTTCTCAGGAACTTCAAATCAGAGCTTCCTTAAATATGGTACTAAGCTGCTTGATCACATTCTATACTGTATGATGCATCTACATATGGGTCAGTCCATTCACACAGTGCTTTAGTGGTATAGCAGGGAAAACATATAATATTTTTTTGTAAGGAGCAATTGAATGCTACAAAATGGGCAAACATGTTGCTGATATAATGAAGAGATAGTATGCATAATTATATTTTGGTTGGTTGTCAACTTTTTTTTATAATATAGATTATATTTCAAAAAGGCCTCATTTTTACCCTTTTAACATGGGACAATTAATACATCACCAAGTATAAGATGAAAAACCAATATGTTGAAAAAATATAGGGTGAATGGTTTTTATTCATTTCAGTTCTTAATAGTGTGTTTTTTGTCTTAAACTACTTGTTTTGTGAATTTGATTTGTGAAAATGGGTGATTTTTAACATTTTTTATGCTGTTCATTTGTGTTTAAGTTCCGTCAAATTTACATTTACAGAAAATTATTCGTAACGCACATACCCAAGAGAAAATAAATCTGGGATCCCACTGGAATTCCGGCTGGAATTCTGATGGATTCCAATTGGGATCCCACCTAATTCCAGTGTTCTCCCCAGGCCCTTAAAGGACCGCGGGCCCGCGATGTATAATTTTTTACCGTGGTGGTACCGTTCTTACCGTGATGTATAATTTTTCACCGTGGTGCTAAAATTTTCAGTTAAAAAATCGTAAATCGGTAAAGTTTTAAACGACTTAATTTTTAAATCTTTTCCGTGCGGTATAAAACTCCAGGTGAAATTTGACCAGTTCAAACCAGTTCAACATGGATTGTTTACACCACGTGATTGATTTACCTTTATGAGGTTAACCTTTGTTGATTGGATTTAATCGATGTAATTAACACTTATTACATGATTCTTTTGTGTTTTAATTTAGAGATCATAACTTTATGATCAAAGATAACTATCTTAAGGCTTGACTCACCACCTGACAAGTTGGCAAATACTTTGTACACAAACCGTGTTGACCCGATAGTTGTACATACGACGGTACATATTTTGTACATTATAAAGTTAGCTCAATACTTATATTATAGTTTTATATGTCTCTAATTAAACCATGGCCAAAATTATCTTTAATTATGACATACATGTAGGTATTGCATGATATTCCGGTTTCAAACTGTCAACAAGAAATTCAAAGGGGAAGGATCACATGACCCAGTTAGTTCACGTAGAATATTCAAGATTATTTACAATTAACTGCAATCTATTCTATAAATAAAATGCATGACTGTACCTTCAACCTGGATATCTATATCCATATGATCATTAATGAATAACAGAAGTGATCTTGCAATTTTAATCCATAAGCACATGTTAAATCTATTTATATCTACTTCCTGTCATTTAGGCGGGAAAATGTTGTTGACATTGAATATGTTACTTATAGATCTAGAGACCTAAGATAAATTTATAGATTTAGGAAATTTTTTTAAATGGATCATGACAAATAAAGATTTAGATTTCAGTACAGTATTAAGTCTGTATATATGTTTGATTATCACCAAAGACAAGAAAGGTTAATATTTACATGTACATGAAATCTATGGCAAAATGTTTTAAAATTTATGAAAAATTTCTTTTTATTAAAATTTAAGATAGAAACTGGTTCAAATTATAACACAATTTTGTTCTTGTTAATTTTATATCCCCAGGACAGGAATCCTTTCACATACAACAACTTTCTTTCTAGAAACTAGAAAGTTTTTTAAATTGAACATTTTTGTTCTCTTTTGAATCTGGGAACAGTATATCTAATAATATATATGTTCCTGTTTCAATGATATTTTATTTTTATTGATCATGGATTTTATAAAAGATTTAATTACTTTAAATTTAGATGAATATTATGTAATGAATCCTGTTTTATTTATTTTTAAAAAATATTAAAAGTATACAAACTGTTTATTGATCTGTTTAACCAATAATATTCTGACATACATGTAACACAGTACCACAGAATTAAAACAAGAGACATAAAAACTGCAGTCACTAGAAATATAGCGACGCCACGCGACACACAACTGATTGTATGAATCATTTCACCAAGCTGTTCACACGCGTTACCCTGGTGCTATCCAAAAATCCTGGGGAGAACACTGTAATTCCACTGGGATAAAATTGAAAAAGAAGCGGGATCCCGATGTATATCCTGGTGGAAATATACTGGGATATTGTGGGATTTTGATTGGAATATACTGGGATTCCCGGAAAAAAAAGGGGGAGCCCAAAATAAATCCCAGCAGGATATACATGCACCAATTCCAATTGCACGTACTAGACTCCACTGGGATTCCTGGGTTATTTATGCAAAAGGATACATGTAAAGTTCTCCTCCTTTCTGTAAATAAATTTGCTGTCTCTGTACTTCCAACAAGTATTGCTGAGTAAAGGTAACTGGAATCTGCATGCAATCTGTTTATACTATCAAAATTGGCAGCTCGATTTAATCAAATCATTAAATCCCCTAAAAGTATCAAAAAATCCACAAAGAATCATTTGTTCAAGACGTTTTGAAGCAAAAAATTCAATAGAAATATTATTGCATGTTTATACAGTAGATTGGAAGCCATTTGGAATCAAATTAATTACCCTCCCCCTTTTTATCCCCTGAAGATAAAAATAACTAGCGACTTATTATTTTCACCAAATAACCATTCACACAACACAATTAAATTTTTACATACCTTTATACGACCGCAAAAATATTTTTGTGGTCGTATATTGGTATGACGTTGTCGTCGTCGTCGTCGTCTGGCGTCGTCCGAAGACACATTGGTTTTCGCACTCTAACTTTAGTTTAAGTGAATGGATCTCTATGAAATTTTACCACGAGGTTCAATACCACAAAAGGAAGGTTGGGATTGATTTTGGGGGTTATGGTACCAACCGTAAAGGAATTAGGGGCCAAAAAGGGGCCAAAAATAAGCATTTTTGTAACTTCCAGACATAACTTGTGTGTTAGTGTATGGATCTCTGTGACATTGTACCACAAGCTTCCATATCACAAAAGGAATGCTGGGATTGATTTTGGGGGTAATTGCCTCAAAATTTTAGGAATTAGGGGCCAAAAAAGGGGCAAAAAACAAGCATTTTTCTAGTTTCATGACAATAACTTGTGTGTAAGTGTATGGATCTTTCTGAAATTGTACTACAAGGTTCCATATCACAAAAGGGAAAGCTGGAATTGAGTTTGGGGGTAATTGCCGAAACGTTTAGGAATTAGGGGCCAAAAAGGGGCCAAAAATAAGCATTTTTCTAGTTTCCAGACAATAACTTGTGTTCAAGTGTATGGATCTCTCTGAAATTGTACTGCAAGGTACCATACCACAAAGGGAAGGCTGGGATTGATGATGGGGGTAATTGCCTCAATATTTTAGGAATTAGGGGCCAAAAAGGGGCAAAAAACAAGCATTTTTCTAGTTTCAGGACAATAACTTGTGTGTAAGTGTATGGATCTTTCTGAAATTGTACTACAAGGTTCCATATCAGAAAGGGAAAGCTGGGTTTGAGTTTAGGGGTAATTGCCCTAAACGTTTAGGAATTTGGGGCCAAAAAACACATTTTTCTAGTTTCCAGACAATAACTTGTGTTCAAGTGTAAGGATCTCTCTGAAATTGTACTGCAAGGAACCATACCACAAAGGGAAGGCTGGGATTGAGTTTGGGGGTGATGAATCATAAGGGGGTTCAAAAAATTTGGGGGGGGGGATTTTCTTTTTTTTCCTTTTTTTTCTTTTTTTCCTTTTTTTTTTTCTTTTAAAATTTTCCATTTTAAGTTGGTTATTTCTGATTTATATTTAAAAGCAAATAATAATGATATGGTAGGAGATACACACCAAACAGGATGTGTAAATTATTATATAATAAGTATTGTGCAATAGCAAGAAATTTTCAGTTGCACAGTATTGCACAATAGCAAGAAATCTTCAATTGCACAGTATTGGGCAATAGCAAGAAATCTTCAATTGCACAGTATTGCGCAATAGCAAGAAATATCCAATAGCACAATATTGCGCAATAGCAAGAAATTGTCAATTGTACAGTATTGCGCAATAGCAAGAAATATTTAATTGCACAGTATTGTGCAAAAGAAGATACTTCGTATAAATTGCTTATTTCTTGACCAATTTCAATGGGGTTTTATTCTTGAATTCTTGGGGTTCTTTAATATGCTGAATCTAACCGTGTATTTAGTTTTTGGATTTTGGGCCCCGTTTTTAAATTGAGGTCCAAAGGGTCCAAAATTAAACTTTGTTTGATTTCATCAAAAATTGAATTATTGGGGTTCTTTGATATGCCGAATCTAACCGTGTATTTAGATTCTTAATTTTTGGTTCTGTTTTCAAATTGGTCTACATTAAGGTCCAAAGGGTCCAAAATTAAACTTAGTTTGATTTTAACAAAAATTGAATTCTAAGGGTTCTTTGATATGCTGAATCTAAACATGTATTTAGATTTTTGATTATGGGCCCAGTTTTCAAGTTGGTCCAAATCGGGGTCCAAAATTAAACTTTGTTTGGTTTCAACAAAAATTGAATATATGGGGTTCTTTGATATGCTGAATCTAACCATGTATTTAGATTTTTGATTTTTGGGCCCCGTTATCAACTTTGTCCACATTGAGGTCAAAAGGGTCCAAAATTAAACTTTGTTTGATTTCATCAAAAATTGATTTCAATGGGTTCTTTGATATGCTGAATCTAACCATGTATTTAGATTTTGGATATTGGACCATAATAGGTGAATGTCCAATTTAAAATTTTTAAGTTCTTAGACCACATTCATTCTGTGTCAGAAACCTATGCTGTGTCAAATATTTAATCACAATCCAAATGCAAAGCTGTATCAAGCTTGAATGTTGTGTCCATACTTGCCCCAACTGTTCAGGGTTCAACCTCTGCGGGCGTATCAAGTTGCGCCCTGCGGAGCATTTTATTAAATATAAGAAAAAAAAACTTTATTTAATCGGCACAGGGTGCATGCAGATGAACTAGTGGCCACATTATCTAGTGTCGGACTGTTCAGTACAATTACAAAAAAAAAAACAAGTCGTCATGACTTTTATACGACCGCAAAAAAATTTTGCGGTCGTATATTGGCGTTGGCGTCGTCGTCGTCCGAAGACACATTGGTTATCGCACTCTAACTTTAGTTTAAGTGAATGGATCTCTATGAAATTTTACCATAAGGTTCAATACAACAAAAGGAAGGTGGGGATTGATTTTGGGGGTTATGGTACCAACAGTTAAGGAATTAGGGGCCAAAAAGGGGCCAAAAATAAGCATTTTTGTAACTTCCAGACATAACTTGTGTGTTAGTGTATGGATCTCTCTGACATTGTACCACAAGGTTCCATATCACAAAGTGAATGCTGGGATTGATTTTGGGGGTAATTGCCTCAAAATTTTAGGAATTAGGGGCCAAAAAGGGGCAAAAAAACAAGCATTTTTCTAGTTTCATGACAATAACTTGTGTGCAAGTGTATGGATCTCTCTGACATTGTACCACAAGGTTCCATATCACAAAGGGAATGCTGGGATTGATTTTGGGGGTAATTGTCTCCAAATTTTAGGAATTAGGGGCCAGAAAGGGGCAAAAAACAAGCATTTTTCTAGTTTCATGACAATAACTTGTGTGTAAGTGTATGGATCTTTATGAAATTGTACTACAAGGTTCCATATCACAAAGGGAAAGCTGGAATTGAGTTTGGGGGTAATTACCCAAAACGTTTAGGAATAAGGGGCCAAAAGAGGCCAAAAATAAGCATTTTTATACGACCGCAAAAAAATTTTGTGGTCGTATATTGGTATGACGTTGGCGTAGTCGTCGTCGTCCGAAGACACATTGGTTTTCGCACTCTAACTTTAGTTTAAGTGAATGGATCTTTTTGAAATTTGACCATAAGGTTAAATACCACAAAAGGAAGGTTGGGATTGATTTTGGGGGTTATGGTACCAACAGTTAAGGAATTAGGGGCCAAAAAGGGGCCAAAAATAAGCATTTTCTAGTTTCCAGACAATTACTGTGGAACGGTGTATGGATCTCTCTGAAATTATACTACAAGTTTCCATACCACAAAGGGATGGTTAGGATTTGCTTTGGGGGGTTATGGCTCAAACCGTTTAGGAATTAGGGGCAAAAAAGGGGGAAAAACAAGGTTGTCCTGGTTAATGGACAAATACTTTTGTACAAAACATAATTTAAAGCAGTGTAAGGGAGATAAATCAAATACATCATTGAAATTATCTCCCTTACACTGCTTTTAAATTATGTATAAAGTAATGGTTAATGAACAATAAAGATAATTTAAAACAGTGTAAGGGAGGTAATCCAAATACAACGTTTTGGTTACTTCCCTTACACTGCTTTTAAATTATGTTTAAAGAAATACATATTTATAAAGGAAGACCAGTAAAAATATCTGCAAATGTTGCATCTTTTTTTTTTACAAAAAAATCCATATGAAAGATTTGACACTATATTTTTAATTCTATTATAAAATAGATTAAGTTAGCACTATGGTAAATTTAAATGGGTAATTATGGTTGCCAACTCCATTGGAAATTTGAATTGAGATTATGACCATATCTTGAGGGGAAGAATTTTTTTGGGGAAAAAAGGGGGGGGGATAAAAAGAAATTGTGGGGGGTCAATTTTTTCTCATTTCAGATTTCAGAAATTAAAAAGAATTATTCTTCAAATATTATTTTTTTTTTCAAATTTCAAATATTGAAAAATTTCAAGAAGTAATCTTTAATTGCACAGTATGGCGCATTAGATTTGTAAAATCTTTGATCACATTTATTTATTTGTTATGCCGAATCTAACAGTGTATTTAGATTTTTAATTTTGGGTCCAGTTTTCAAATTGGTCTACATTAAGGTCCAAAGGGTCCAAAATTAAACTTTGTTTGATTTTAGCAAAAATTGAATATATGAGGTTCTTTGATATGCTGAATCTAAACATGTATTTAGATTTTTGATTTTTGGCCCAGTTTTCAAGTTGGTCCAAATTGGGGTCCAAAATTAAACTTTGTTTGATTTCAACAAAAATTGAATATATGGGGTTCTTTGATATGCTGAATCTAACCATGTATTTAGATTTTTTATTTGTGGACCCTGTTATCAAATTGGTTCATATTGAGGTCAAAAGGGTCCAAAATTAAACTTTGTTTGATTTCATCTAAAATTGAATTATTGGGGTTCTTTGATATTCCAAATCTAACCGTGTATTTAGATTTTTAATTTTGGGTCCTGTTTTTTAAATTGGTCTACATTAAGGTCCAAAGGGTCCAAAATTAAACTTAGTTTGATTTTAACAAAAATTGAATTCTTGGGGTTCTTTGATATGCTGAATCTAAACATGTGTTTAGATTTTTGATTATGGGCCCAGTTTTCAAGTTGGTCCAAGATAGGGTCCAGTATTTAAACTTTGTTTGATTTCAACAAAAATTGAATATATGGGGTTCTTTGATATGCTGAATCTAAACATGTATTTAGATTTTTGATTATGGGCCCAGTTTTCAAGTTGGTCCAAATTGGGGTCCAAATGAAACTTTGTTTGATTTCAACAAAAATTGAATATATGAGGTTCTTTGATATGCTGAATCTAACCATGTATTTAGATTTTTTATTTGTAGGCCCTGCTATCAAATTGGTTCATATTGAGGTCAAAAGGGTCTAAAATTAAACTTTGTTTGATTTCATCAAAAATTGAATTATTGGGGTTCTTTGATATGCCAAATCTAACCGTGTTTTTATACGACCGCAAAAAAATTTTTGTGGTCGTATATTGGTATGACGTTGGCGTCGTCGTCGTCCGGCGTCGTCCGGCGTCGTCCGAAGACACATTGGTTTTCGCACTCTAACTTTAGTTTAAGTGAATGGATCTTTATGAAATTTTACCACAAGGTTCAATACCACAAAAGGAAGGTTGGGATTGATTTTGGGGGTTATGGTAATAACAGTAAAGGAATTAGGGGCCAAAAAGGGGCCAAAAATAAGCATTTTTGGAACTTCCAGACATAACTTGTGTGTTAGTGTATGGATCTCTCTGACATTGTACCACAAGGTTCCATATCACTAAAGGAATGCTGGGATTGATTTTGGGGGTAATTGCCTCCAAATTTTAGGAATTAGGGGCCAAAAAAGGGGCAAAATACAAGCATTTTTCTAGTTTCATGACAATAACTTGTGTGTAAGTGTATGGATCTTTCTGAAATTGTACTACAAGGTTCCATATCACAAAGGGAAAGCTGGGTTTGAGTTTGGGGGTAATTGCCCTAAACGTTTAGGAATTTGGGTCCAAAAAGGGGCCAAAAAACACATTTTTTTCTAGTTTCCAGACAATAACTTGTGTTCAAGTGTATGGATCTCTCTGAAATTTTACTGCAAGGTACCATACCACAAAGGGAAGGCTGGGATTGAGTTTGGGGGTGATGAATCATAATGGGGGTTCAAAAAATTTTGGGGGGGGATTTATTTTTTTTTCCTTTTTTTTCTTTTTTTCCTTTTTTGTTTCTTTTAAAATTTTCCATTTTAAGTTGGTTATTTCTGATTTATATTTAAAATCAAATAATAATGATATGATAGGAGATACACACCAAACAGGATGTGTAAATTATTATATAATAAGTATTGTGCAATAGCAAGAAATTTTCAATTGCACAGTATTGCACAATAGCAAGAAATCTTCAATTGCACAGTATTGCGCAATAGCAAGAAATCTTCAATTGCACAGTATTGCGCAATAGCAAGAAATATCCAATAGCACAATATTGCGCAATAGCAAGAAATTGTCAATTGTACAGTATTGCGCAATAGCAAGAAATATTTAATAGCACAGGATTGTGCAAAAGAAGATACTTCCTATAAATTGCTTATTTCTTGACCAATTTCAATGGGGTTTTATTCTTGATTTCATGGGGTTCTTTAATATGCTGAATCTAACCGTGTATTTAGTTTTTGGATTTTGGGCCCCGTTTTTAAATTGGTCCACATTGAGGTCCAAAGTGTCCAAAATTAAACTTTGTTTGATTTCATCAAAAATTGAATTATTGGGGTTCTTTGATATGCCGAATCTAACTGTGTATTTAGATTCTTAAATTTTGGTTCCGTTTTCAAATTGGTCTACATTAAGGTCCAAAGGGTCCAAAATTAAACTTAGTTTGATTTTAACAAAAATTGAATTCTTAGGGTTCTTTGATATGCTGAATCTAAACATGTATTTAGATTTTTGATTATGGGCCCAGTTTTCAAGTTGGTCCAAATCGGGGTCCAAAATTAAACTTTGTTTGATTTCAACAAAAATTGAATATATGAGGTTCTTTGATATGCTGAATCTAACCATGTATTTAGATTTTTGATTTTTGGGCCCCGTTATCAACTTTGTCCACATTGAGGTCAAAAGGGTCCAAAATTAAACTTTGTTTGATTTCATCAAAAATTGAATTATTGGGGTTTTTTGATATGCCGAATCTAACTGTGTATTTAGATTCTTAATTTTTGGTTCCGTTTTCAAATTGGTCTACATTAAGGTCCAAAGGGTCCAAAATTAAACTTAGTTTGATTTTAACAAAAATTGAATTCTTAGGGTTCTTTGATATGCTGAATCTAAACATGTATTTAGATTTTTGATTATGGGCCCAGTTTTCAAGTTGGTCCAAATCGGGGTCCAAAATTAAACTTTGTTTGATTTCAACAAAAATTGAATATATGGGGTTCTTTGATATGCTGAATCTAACCATATATTTAGATTTTTGATTTTTGGGCCCCGTTATCAACTTTGTCCACATTGAGGTCAAAAGGGTCCAAAATTAAACTTTGTTTGATTTCATCAAAAATTGAATTCTTGGGGTTCTTTGATATGCTGAATCTAACCATGTATTTAGATTTTG